CATAAGGGCAGGGAAAAAGAAAGAGGACATTACGATTAGCATGTATAGTGTGTGGGGGGCACAGGGAGGGCTGTGCAACACAGAGAATACAAGTAGTGATTTTACAGCATCTTACTATGTAGATGGACAGTGACTGTGAAGGGGTATTTGGGGGGACTTGGTGAAGGGGGGAACCTAGTAAACATAATGTTCTTTCTGTAATTGAAGATTAATGATTCCAAAATTTTTAAAAAGCTATAGAAATACTAGTTGATATTATCATAATCGGTTTCTCATAAAGTGTTTGAATTTTTTAGAACATCTGGCATGCATCAGTTAAAGTAAGATAGTAACAAAAGAAAGCAATCTGTTTGAACATATGCAGTCAATATATATATATAATGTCTATATTGCATCAAAAAGAATAAATTACCTAAGGAATAAATTTAACCAAGAAGGTGGAAGACCTGTACTCTGAAAACTATAAGACATTGATAAAAGAGTTGAAGAAGACACAAATAAATGAAAGATATCCCATGCTCATGGATTGGAAGAATTAATATTGCCAAAATGGCCATACTACCCAAACCTACTTACAGATTCAGTGCAATCTCCATCAAAATATCAAGGGCATTTTTAATGGAACTAGAACAACAAATTCTAAAATTTTTATGGAAACACAAAAGACCCCAAAATGCCAAAGAAATCTGAGAAAGAGGAACAAAGCTGAAGGTATCACACTACTTAACTTCAAATATAATATAAAGCTACAGTAATCAAATCAGTATGGTACTAGCACAAAAACAGATACATAGCTCAATGGAACAGAACAGACTCCAGAAATAAGCCCATACTTACATGGTCAATTAATATATGACAAAGGAGGCCAAAATATACAATGGGGAAAAGAGAGATTCTTCAACAAACACTGTTGGGAAAACTGGACCACTACATGTAAAAGAATGAAACTGGACCACTGTCTTACACCAGATACAAAAATAAATTCAAAATGGATTAAACACTTGAAGGAAAGACCTGAAATTATAACATTCCTAAAAGAAAACATATTGACTTACTGAGTGAGGACCTATTGAGTGTGCCCTGAAAACACTTCTTTCACAGGCTCTGCTGCCATTGGGAAATCTTCTTGCCTTGGTTGTTTACCTTTCAGGGTATGCTTTTAGTTCACTGCCCCCTCCCCAACTCCTTTACCTGCACCAGACATTCTTTAACAGGGAAATCTAATGTTGTAGCAATCGTAGAGAAGGCAGAAACAACTTTCCAAACATAACCACCCTTGTCCTTTCTAGTATGAAAATTCCATACCCAACCACCTTCAAAGAATCCATACATCCAGATCTCTTTCTCCCACAACCCATAAGGCTATTCTGATTTCACTTTCTCCTCCACACCTGGGTGCTACATTACTGATGAGAAAGTATGAGTTATTACAGTCCTTGCTCATGTACTGCTCTGGGACACCACTCACACAGTGAACCTGTGTGACCCTTATCCAAGCACCAGTACACAGGAAGATACGATGAAGATTTTAAAAGTAAAAGAGCTATTTAGCTATATCCAATTCTTGATTTCATAAGTGGGGAAACTGTAGCTCAGCAAGATTGACTTCTCTAAAGTCAGTATTTAGCAACAGAACACTACCAGAACTTAGGCCTCCTGACCCCAGGCACAGGCACATTCTAAGTCCACTCCACTAGTTGGGCCTGTCATGGCCATCGTGAGCCCTCCTGGGTGGACCAAGCTGCCCAGGTGAAGGGACTCGGCCCTCAGAGGGTCGGGGTGCCACTAGAGAGAAGTGATGGGATCTAGTTCACATGTTACAAAGATCACTCTGGCTGTAGCAAGGCAACATGGTCTGCGATGGGAATGTGGGAAGAGAAACCAACTGGAGTGGAAGCTGGGGAATTAGCAGTCTATTGCAGTAGTTCTGGTGAGAGGAGGTGGAGGCTTGAACCAAGACACTGTGGTGGGAATGGGAAGAAGTGGTCAGATTCCAGGTGTACTTTTAGAAGTAAAATCAACAAGGCTTACTGGCAGGTTGGATGTGGGTGGTGAGGGGAGAACAAAGGGTTCAAACGCATACCTGGCATTATGGGCCACCGAACAGACTCATTCAGCCACCCAATATCCTTTCTTGATTGAGACATGATTTACCTCTGCCTGTCTTTCCCACCAACACAGCTACAACCCAGCGTGGAGGACAAGATTTCTTTTTAAAGAGAAACAGTACAAGTGCTGTGCTAATATAAACCACATTGTGGAGTGAGTAGATTCTGTGGGTCAGTGCAGGTTGAATCACTACTTGTATTTTCTGCGGGTAAATGGATTTAACCAACTTAGAAATGAGCTATTGAACAAAACCTCTGTATAAATTAGAATCTGCCTATAAAGAAAAGCATAGCAGCTTTACATCTACTTTGTGTTTCCAGGCCTGTCAGAGAGTTTGCCATGCCAAGAGGAGCAAACACTTTTTGTTACTGCACAAAAGCAAATATGATTGTCACTGGAGGTAAGACGACAGTTTGTCTTGCACAGAGATATTCTGCTTCGCAAAGAGTGCTCTCCTTGATTAACATAGTGGTTTTCATAGTTACAGAAATTTAATCTTAGGAAAACCTTTTAGAGACTTTTAAAAATGTGTACAAAGTTAAATCTGTCAGTCTTTTTCTTGGTGGTTTTAGGATTTGATGGCACACTTAGAAAGTTCTTCTCGGGCCCAAGAACATGCTAAACATATTCTCCCATATTTTATTACTATTATTTTTCTTTTATCGTTTTGTTTTCTATTTTACCTTTAGATCTTTGATCTGTCTTGAACATACTTCAGAGTGTGAGGGCATGAATTCTTAGCCTCTCTGACAGAGAAGGCGGCCAAGGGTAGGGCCTTGAAACATACCAACCCTTACGGTTGAGTGGGGAGGAAGACAAGAAGCAAGGTCACCTGCTGAAAGTAAGGGATGTAAGAAGCTGGAGGGGGAGGAGGACGGAAGTACCTCGGAACCTCAGACTCCTCATCTGAAATCCAGGGTTCTGATATGGTGGGGAGCCTTTAGCCTGGGCTTTGCAGTCACACCGTCTAGGTGCAAATCCTGGTCTTCTTACTAGCAGGTTATTTAACTCCTCTAAGCTTCAATCTCATCCATAAAGTGAAGCTGCTAATAGCACCCACGCATTAGGTTATTGTAAGAATTAAACAAATTCATATAATATTTCTTCAAATTCCTTCCCCCAAATTCACCAGGGCAATGTTTGGTTCCCTACAGAGGTGCCCTGTCTCAGCCCTGAAGAACCATATTATGAGCAGAATGATAGCTACAATCTCACCCCATGCTGGGTCATCTCTCCCATGAGGACAAAAAGTTAATTGTTTTTTCAAGTATACTGTGCACTTGAAGTTTATATTGAAATCTGTGCTCAGCTTTGGGCTTTCTACAACACTTCTTTAAAATTGGTTTATGGTTCAAATATTGCTTTAAAAAATTACATAGTCATCTAATGGAAAACAAAACAAGTAAAAACAATGCACTGGAAGTAAAAGTGCTGCGTTCAGTCATAGTCTGGCCAACTAACTTAACCACCTTGATCTCTCCGTATAGCTCATTTTCCTTATCTGGTAAAATGAGGAAGATGGACTACATAAATTCTGAAGATCTCTTTTAGCTTAAAATTGTTTTAAAAATTCTGATTCTATTGTTGAAAGAAAATTCCTGTTCATAGGGAAATAAACTAAAATGCCCTTTTTAAAATTTGGAATCAGTTTGCCAATTAGATGTTTCTCAATATATAGTCACAGCTTTGTGTACTCAGAAAAATAAAGCATTAATTGGCCACAAACTTCTGGATTTCAACTAAGGACATCAAAAAAAGAAAGACACGCATATGGATCAGAAGTCTGCAAAGTAGTGTGTGGGAGCTGTGACTTGAATGGGAGCCAGTTTCCTGAGGCTTGGAGGTGATGATTCTAAGAACAAACAGGAGCCAAGTCTTTAAACTAATTAAGATTGTTATTGAAAGAGCTCCATACTTAGGTCCAGAATATATACAGGAACAAAGACTAAAATTAAATGTTTTCAAAAAAAAGGAAGGGGATGAATGCTTGTACCCTAATTCCTTGATCCCTGTTTACCCCTTCCTAAGCTGATGACTGCCTTGGCTTATTTACTTGCAATGGAAATTGGCACATTTCCTGGCCTGGACCACACACCGAAAGGAGGGGGTGGGCCTCCAGCAGATGAGGGGAGGAGAGGACAGAGATGTTGAGAGAGGAGGCTGAGAATCCAAGTGGTGAGGATGCCATGCTCACCACTGAAGTCTTCAGTTCGGTCAAAATGCCAATTTTCAACCTTACTTCAACTGAAATCCCACACACAACACCCACTAAGAGCATAACTGAAATATATGGCTAAAGTTGAGCCTTGATTTCTAAAATCTGACTGTTCTAAAAAGATATGCTGTCACATTAACCTCAACCAACTCCTTTGGACTCAAGAGAATACAAACATAAGAACTGACCAGCTTTCATATGCCTTATAATTTAAGTATTTTAATCATTTCTAGGGGAAAAATGTGTTGGTAAAGTTCTGGGACTCAAACCACTTCACTATTTATGGATTAAGGCATTTGCCTCTCAGTAACCTCAGTGTTCATTATAATATAAGATCACCATCTACAGCTTTGAAACCTTATTAATTATAGGTTTTCTCGCTCTCTTGTAAAGGCAAGAAAACATTCAAGTATACGGCTGACAAGAACTAATACTTTCACCATGCATAATTTATTGACTTGCACAGTTATGGAGCCTTTATTAGTAGAAAATTCAGTTCTTCTGTGACTGAAAACACATTTTTTCCCAGGAGACTACTTTTTCTGATTAGTGACTCAGCCAAGCACATTGCTAAATGTACTGTATGTACTAGCTGGTGACTCAAAACAATTTCAAATTTCCTGATCATTATTTTGGTAACCATCAAGAATTTTTTACCCAATAGTTGTCTCTATTGTCAATTTATAAAAGTAAACCCCTAGTTTGAAAGGTCCAGTATATAAAAATAATTACCTGCCTCCAAGATATCTTGGTGACTCTGCATGCATTTGATAATATTTCATTCAACAAATATTTATTATGTAACTGCTGTGGGCTAGGCATTATAAACCTTGTAAAGGTTAGTTTGTATTTCTAACCTTCAAGAATTCAAAATCTAATAGTACAAATAAGACATATAGATAGCTATAACACAAAGTGGATCAAAAGTCAACAGGTAAATAATAATAGTAACACTAATACAGATGAAATACCACAGGCATTTAGAACTTAGTGTCACGTCCCTTTCTGCTTTCTCTGGCTCCAGAAAGCTGCCACACACACTATGGAAGGATTCCATCACTATCAGTGAAAGCAAGCAGAGCTGAAGGACCTCTGGTAGGAATAGGACACCTCAGAAAGACTGGGTTTCCTTCTCAATGCACACTGGACAGAGCCCTTGATTTAGGCATTTCTCAGGTGGCAATCCTCTATTGCCTTCTTCTTCATGTGATACTCAAGTCATAGATTTTCTTCTGGGAATAGCCTGGCTTTATCCTCCAGGCAGGACAATGTCCATTTCAGGGGGCACCTGGCCCACATCTAGGACTGTCTGTGGGCCTGAGGCTCAGGGTTTGGAACATACCTGAGTAATGTGATGCTTCTTGGCCGTGGCCAGTGAAAAGCAAATGTAGACAAGATACTGCATTATTGCAGTTACTCAGTTTGAATCATGTAATGATAGTCAAGAGTTTTCTCATTACCTTTAAAAATTCCAGATTTCTCTCTACTGCCATTGTTGTAATAATCTCTTCTTTTGGAAGATTAAATGGGGTAAAGTTCTTAAGAGCTGGAAGGAGTCTTGGAGATCAAAACTTTACAGATAAGGGAGCTGAGGCTCCAGAAAAGAGAAGGATTTGCCACAGCTCCTGCAATGAGTTAGCTGAGGAAACGAGGCTTGAGTCAGTTCTCTTTGTCCCAGCACCCTACTCTTCTTCGTGGACCACAGTAACTTCGTCACTGCAGGCTCTCCCGTCTTCCTCTTCTCTCTGGACTGAGCCAGCTCATCTCATCAAGGGTGATGATGCACTTAAGCCAAGTTGCTCATCAACAGGAGAAAAGAGCTTGTTAAAGGAAAGAAAATACCATCTTTTATGTGTGGCCTTATCTAAACCCTGGTTTAGTAACCACAACAAAATAATAAAAGAAGGAAAAGAGTAGAGAAAAGGAATTATCCTCTTATGAACCATAATGTAGTATTTGGAGTATCAAGTCTTATCTTCAGATTTGATGTACTTTCCCTTTCTATCTTTCATGCTTACCTTGGTGCTACTACTAGATTATAAACTCTCAAGAGCAGGGACGACATTTCATGTATTTGTGTGTCCATCTCACTTTTTCTAAAAAAAGCATTTTGTAAAATGCATTGTATTTTAGAGGAATAATAGTAGTAGTAGTAGTAATAGTCATGACCAAGGAATTATTCATATTAAACATGTATAATCCCATTTAATCTTCACAACAGAACTGTGACAGAAATGCTACTTATCCCCATTACCCAGATAAGGAAACTCAAACAGAGAGAGTTGAAGTGACTAAAGTTATAAAGCTAGTTAGGGATAGAGCCAAGAGTCAAATCAAGGCAGACTTTCCCAAAATAAGTATTTTTAACCACTTCGTAAGTGACTCTACTAGCCAACTCATTTACTTAGCAAACATGTATTAGGCACTTACTATTTGTCAAAACTGCTATAAAAATGGGAAATAAAAAGCTCACCGGATAATGGGCAAACAGATGCGTTAGCAAACAACTGTAATTGAGTAGGATTCGTGTTATAAAAGAAATCTGAAGAGAACACCCTAAATACATGGAAGGAGTCTTAACTCCATCAGAGGTGGGGGAAAGTGATCAGGGAAAGCTTAGGAAGGAAATGTTGGAACTATGTCTAAAAGGGTTTAAATGCTGGTCTTTTGAGAAAGATTTTTGGTAGGGTTAGTACCTAGAGTTTCTTTGTATCCTCAACATCTAGCACAAAATGCCAAGTGTATAGTAATTTCTCATAATATTTTCTTTTTGTTGTTAATAAGGGTAAGAAGGAGGTTTAAATTTAAGAAGATATCCCATTTACCCATTGACAATAGTCCTTAAAATACCTTGGTTGCTGTCTTGGTCGGCTCAGGCTGCCATAACAAAATACAACAAAATACCATAGACTGGGTGACATAACAGAAATTAATTTTCTCACAGTTTGAGAGGATAGAAATCCGCAATGAACGTGCCGGCATATTCAGTTTCTAGTGAGGGCTCTTTGCCTAACTTTCAGGTGGCGTTTTCTCTCTGCACCTTCCAGTCGAAGTGAGAGGGAGGGAGAGAGCTCTCTGGTGTCTCTTCTTTTAAGGTCACTAATCCCATCATGAGGGCCCTACTGCCTGTATTTGGTAAATAACATTGGACCAATCACATTTAAATCACTAAATTAAATTAAATAATTAAAGCATTTAATTAAAATCAATCTTTAGGAGTTAGTTTCCTTCTTTTGTGATATAAAAAAGTTGGATTATATAACTTCTAGTGCCCCAACTTAAAACTCTTTGATATTTTTATGACTCAGCTTCCATGATGGCATTTAATTATTTGTGAAATAGAAAATCTAATGTCTTAAAAATATTCAATATTTTGTAAGCTATTATACACAGTTTAGATTATGGTTTAAAAAGACAATTAGATCATAACTATGCATTAGTTCAGGTAATGGTAGTTGGTGTAACAAATAAACCCCAAAATGTAAAATGACTCAAAGATAATGGAAATATATTTCCTCTTCATGTAAAATCTAAAATCAGTTCTCATCACTCACCAGCTAAAAGCTAGTAATCTAACTGCCAAGGAATCTGGGGAATGTATGTAGCTGCATACATGGTAAGAGACAATATGGGTGTGGTGAACGGCAAGCCAGTCTGTATCATAAAACAAGATGCGTGGGTGTGTGTATGCATAGGATAATAAATTTTTATTAAATTTTATTTTTTATTATCAGATTTCTAATAGACCACGGGTAAAGGATATGGTCAAACAGTACACAGGAAGAGACACAATTAGCAGACACACATGGGAGAAAATACTCAACAGCATTATCTATCACATAAATTAAACTAAAATAAAGTGTTATTTAGACCTAGAAAACAGCAAACATTATAAATAATGATGTAAATCCATGTGCTGGCCAGAGTCTGATGAAACTAGTATTATCACATATGGCTGATGGCCTTGGAATTTGGTACAACCATTTTGGAAAGCAACCAAACAATATGTTTTAATGTCATAAAAATGTTGATAGCCCTTAATATAGTGTAATCATACTCTTGGGAATTTATACTCAGTAAATAATCCCAAAGAAGAAAAAAAACATACAAATAACTTTTTATTGTAGTTATTGCTGAATAAAGTGAAAAACTAGAATTAACAGAACCACTTATCAATGGACAAATGTTAATAAACTTTGATGTAGGAGCTAAAGTGATAATTATGAAGGCATGGGCCCATGATCTTCCATAAATATAAAAAAATAAAGTTCTAGGATCTAATGTACAGCATGGTGAGTATAGTTAACAATACTGTATTGTATAATTGAAATTTGAAAAAAGAGTAAATCTTAAAAGTTTCACTACAAAAAAAAATGATAACTGTGTGAGGTGATGTAGGTATTAACTGTCCTTATCATGGTAATCACCTTATAATACATATTTATATCAAATAATCACATTGCACAACTTTTACTAACATGTTGTATGTCAATTATATCTCAAAATAGCTGGAAGAAAGGAGAGAAATCAACTTTCTTTCCAATATACATATAATCACAAGATGACAAATCCTTTCTACAAAATTTCAATTTAGCCTCTCTCTCTGTGCATTCAGTAGAGCATGCTGTGACTTCTTGGTAAAAATGCATATTAAAACAGTTTTGAATTTTAAAAATGCATAAAAATTTTTTTTATATATTTTGGAAGCATTTAAAATATAACTTTACATGTGTATCAAAGATAAAATGTTAATAGTAATGTTTTTTGTTATTGAAAAATCTTCCTAAGTACTTCCTGAAAATAATTCAAAGTATTTAAAAACAAATGGGAAAGTGTTACTCTTAACTCTGAAATAAAAGGTCTACTTGCAAAAGAGAGAAAAAAAGGTAACAGTGATTACCTATAGGGAACTTAAGTAGGGATTACAAAGGGAAAGAAGACATTTTTCCCCTAAATTATATCCTTCCTTACTGTTAAATCTTTTACCACGTACCCATATGATTTTAACAATTAAAAAAATAGTATCTATGCTATGATGATAACTACATGTAAATTATATACATTTACAGATATGTGCCAGAAGGGAAAAGGGATAAATGAAGACAGTTGATCTATTATAATGGTAGAGATTATGTGCAATTTTCCTCTTCCCTTGATTTCTTTTATTATTATAATGTTTGCATAATTTAAGAATGTGAAAACAAAAGAACAGCTGTCTAAAGTGCTCTTGGGAAGTAAATAAAGTATCAATGATACATTACTGCATGAATGGGTAGGAAAGTAGTGAATCAAGAAAAGGACTCATAAGATATTTACAAGAGCTCACATTTGTATGTGTAAATATAATTAATGATTTCTTTTATTATTATAATGTTTGCATAATTTAAGAATGTGAAAACAAAAGAACAGCTGTCTAAAGTGCTCTTGGGAAGTAAATAAAGTATCAATGATACATTACTGCATGAATGGGTAGGAAAGTAGTGAATCAAGAAAAGGACTCATAAGATATTTACAAGAGCTCACATTTGTATGTGTAAATATAATTACAAGTACTTTTCCTTGACAAGAAACAGCAGCTCCTTAAACTAAGGCCAGCCTCTTAGCGATCCATATAGATGGCTTTGTGGGAGAAGCAGACTATGATTTTTATGTCAGCAGAAAGACAAGGAGTTAGTGGGGTAAACTTTGACCGCCTGCATACCTGAGGAAATCATCTCTCCTTGTCCCTCCTTTTAGGGAATGATAAAGTGCTCCGGTTATGGCATCCCAACATCAGCACCAAGCCTGTGGGGAAACTTGTGGGGCACATGTTCACTATCACTGAGATTGTAACAAATGAGAAAGATCAACACGTCATCAGCCTTTCCTCTGCAAAGGTAACAGAAACACAGAAACAAAACTTGAAACCAACTATTGGAAAATCCAGAACACATACAATTTTTGACTGAATAGTTTATAGGCACTGAGAAAAAGAATGTTAGTGTGGATAAGGAAATGATGGGGCACTGCTCTCTGTGTGTAGTGAGTACGGCATATGAAAGAATGTGTTTAAAGATGAGCTAAAGGAATGCAACACTGGGCAGGGAGCCAATACTATCCTCAAGAGTAAAACAAAAGAGGCCTTCCCATTACAGAGAGCAGCAGCATCACTAAAGGCCAAAAAAATAAGGATTTTTGTTTTTGTTGCTGTAAACATTCCAACCAATGTAATAAGACATGAAAAAGTGAGCTATTAATATCAGAAATAAAGAGACTAAATTATTATATTTGCAAGTAATGTGACTGCCTCCTGAATATCCCACTGTATTTTCTTCTGGAAAACTCTTAAAACTTCTATGGTTTCTTATTTCTATGGTCTTGTATTGTTTTATTTTATGAAAGTTCAATAAGATCAGCTTAAAAATATTAGAACAGGTAAATTCAATAGGGTGGCTTGTAACAATATCAATTTATGAAAAAAATACATTTCTAAGTAAAAGTAGTAACTGGTTAGGGACAAAATGCTAGAAGAGGTAGTGTTCACAAGAGCAAAACTATGAAATACCTAGAAATAACCTTAACAAGCAATATTCACTATTAGCATTAAGATAACTGTGATGTTTTTCTGAGGTACTTTTATTTAAGGAGTGAACAGAGGGACATCCTGTGTTACTGCATGGGAATGCTAGACTACAAAAGACATTATCCAACAAATTAAGCTATACATTTAATATTATCCAGGATTATTTAAGTATCAGTTTACCGAGTTTAATGTTAATGTAAAAATACTGATACACAAGAATATCCTAGGTACTTTGGAAAATAAAATTTAAGATAGTACTTTCCCTGTCAAATATTAAAACATATTATAAAGCTGTAATAAATGAAACAGAGTAGTAGTCAGAGAAGGCATAATCAGACACACCCATAAAACAAAAGAGAAAATGCAAGAATTAGTTCATGTGTGTACAAGAATCTTGTGTATCATAAGTCACATTTCAAATCTGTGAGCAGAGAACGGCTTGTTCATTACATGTTGTGAAAACTGATTAACCACGTAAGAGAAAATATGTAACCAGATCATCACTTCATAATAAATAGTAAAATATACTTCATATGTATTAAATATCTTAAATGTGAAATACAAAACCATAGAAGTTTTAAGAGTTTTCTAGAAGAAAATACAGTGGAATATTCATATAGCCTTAAGGTAATTCATAAGCATAACTTATATGACTATATAAACATTCAAACTTTCTTTAAATTACAACAATAGCTCTAATTTATCAAATGCTCATTAAGTGCCAGGAACTGTGCTATGTATTTCACCTATGAAACTCATAAGATGTTAGTAACAACCTTTAAAGTAATTATTGCAGTTGTGTACATGTAAAGAAAAATGAGCCCTAAATAACTTGCACAAAGTCACACAGCTCCTTAGTGGCTACATGTGGCCAATCCCTTATCACCCCCAACCTCAGACAGCCTCTCTGTGCAAATAAAAGAGGTTGAAGACAGAGAGCAGAGGGTGCAGGCATGCAACAGAAATCATAGAAACTGGAAGAATATCCTTAAACAAACAAAAATTTTAACGAATCAGTAGGGGATCAAAAGGAGAAGCAGGTAAGGGCAGAAAACAGACATGTGCACCTAGTGCTTTTGGGATGAAACTGGTAAAAAGTTTTGGGCATTTATTTTAATAAAATAATCAGAAAAGTGCCCAGAGATCTATGTAAAGGATGTTTGTTGCACTATTGGTGATACTGGTGTAAGAAATAAAAAAGAAGAAGGAGGGAAGAAAGGAAGGAAGGAAAGGAGGAAGGGAGGGAGGGAGGAAGGGAAAGAAAGAGAAGGGGAGTGAGTAATCAGCATCCTTCTGGAGCACAATTCTGGCTGCCAAAGGTTCTTCTTCTTTTATTCCTTGAGGATAAAAAATACACATGCTTTGATGATTTGTAACAGATTGCAAATGGTTGTTTAAAAGTAGCTATTTTTCTTGAATTTTCACTTTGAAAGTGATATGAAGGAACCTGAGGAATGGCAAAGCTTGACTAGGCCATGGGTGAGCCTTAGAGCAAGGAGCACGTCCTAAAATCAAGTTCCAGGTGAATAAGATCAGAGCAAACCAGATGGGTTTCCAGCCTGGCCTGCAGGTTAGCTTAACTTCATCCTATCAATGACAACATCTAAGATGTCCTAAGTGAAGATTATGCTACTGACTTGCATCCAGGCAGTGTAGCTAAGAGAAAGGCCTCAAATATTGGGTAAATCTAAGTTTAAGTCCTGACTCCGACAACTACAAGTTGTATCCTTGGGTAAGTCACTTGAGATAGTTTGGCAGGATAACAGAGCACTTTCCCACAGGGCTGGTGTGAGGATTAAATGAGATCAGGCCAGCGAGCATGTAACAGTGCCGGAGCGTAACCGGGTCTCAATAAATGTCAGCAGTTATCATATGCTTTCTTCTCTCCATAGTGGGGATGATACTTACATTGTTCTATCCACACGTTCTGAACACAGTGCAAATTATGGGTGTGGTATGTGGCACAGAATAGGATGAAGCTTTTGATAAAACCCTACTTCAGATGCTCCTCAGTCATTTATAGTCATCTCTTGCTGAGTACCTATCAAGTCTACAGGGTGTTTAAACAAACCTCTTCGACTCTCCCTGAGTCCCTGCTACCATTCTCACCTTCTATTTAACTGAGAATTTTGAGGTTAGTTCATTAACCTCCCCACTGAACCTCAAAATGTTTCTATATGTTTTCCATATTTTCTCCTCCTTTCCTCCTGCCCAAGAACAAGCACTTGTCTTCCTGTCTGATCAAATCCCTCATTGTATGTTCTTAACCCAGTGCTGCCCAATGAGTACCTTATTTCATCAACTGTGATTTACCTTCTTATCCCTAATTTCACTATCTTTAAGGTTTCTTTTCCCCAATTACAAACCATTCAGTACTTATTTATCTTTAAAAAAATGTCTGCATATCTATAAATGAATTTGTTTTCCACTTCAAATCTCCTGTTCCTGACTTCTGATTTTCCTCTAGCTGTTGATGGCATCCTTTGCTTCCTGTGAACCATAAGCAACTTCAAAGTCACTTTTGAAACTGCTGCTTCCCTAAGCCTACCCCTAGCCAGTTCCCAAATCCATGAAATTGGCCTCATATTGATCACCTCGCTCTTTTTCTCACAGGCATAACCCTGGTTCAGTCCCACCAAGGGCCTCCTTGTTGAAGGTAACATATCAGAAGGCACTTGCCGTCCTCCTACTTCAGTCTCTTCCGTGCCAAACCACCCAGATATTATGCTGCCATGGTCATCATCCTCTAACCCACTTGCAACCTTGTCAGAGCCTTCCTACTTCATCTTCAAAGGGCAAAATAAGCAAATACTTTTCAAATAATGCCTTATAAATAATGTTCAAATTCTTTTTATAGTTTTTACATTTTTCTATGGCCTGGAATCATATACCTTTTCAGCTTTGTTTATAATTATTCACCTTCACACAGCCTAAGCTTCACCCAACTCTTTCCCAAAAGCTTTGTCTTTCCCACATTTGTCTGCACTGGTTCTCCTCCAGTACTGAGCTATTCTATTTACCCTCTAAATCTATGTGAAATATCATGCTTTTCATGAAGCCTTTACTAAGAGAGAAATGGAGTTCTTCTCTCTTTGGTGAATGAGAAATGTGAGCATTTGAAATAGACCAAGGATAGGAGGAAAAGCTAACTCTTTCACATATGTTATCTTTAAGTTGTAAAGATCACAAGTCTTTCCTGCCTTTAGCTCCCTGTGCTTCCTTTTGGCATGGGATTATTACACTTGATGTGATTGGGTTTTTCTTTACATTTTGGATAATTGGAAGCATCCATCACTGACAGCAGGGTTTTGCTACTTGCAGCATTTTGCCACCTTCTGTCCTTGCTCTGCTACTTGGGAGATTCTCCTTTGGGTAAACTGATTTGCAACAACTTCAAGAGTAAGAGTTACTTGGGTAAACCTTTCCTCAATTACTGCTGGAAAATCTTTTGGGAAAGACAGATATATGTTAGGAAACTTTTGCTAATAAAATGTAAGTGGCCAACTGGAAATAAAAATCACAAACTAAGGAAAAGGGATGAAGGCATTTGCTCTGGGACTCAGAACTCAACTTGCAATGCTCTTTGCTTATGTACAGGCTTTGTTGTTTTCCTTCGTCTGTCACCCCAAGGCAGCTCGCTGACAATCTGTTGATGTATTGAGCCATGGGGAGCTAATGTGCCTACAGAGACAATGGAGAACCAGTCCCTACATGAAGCTCCTTTTATTTGTGTACATTACTCTTTATTTGCATAACCTGGGACACTTTGTTGTCATTGCACAGGCTTAAAATACACTATGCTGTTTCTGATCTTTGCCAGTTGGGATTATTTCCTATGTGGCTCTTACTGTGTTGCAAAGTATCTTTATAATATTATTTTATCCTCCAGACTGTTTCCTCCCCTGCCCAACTCACAAGAGCTTTCAGAACCTTCAGACCCCTTGCATATAAATACACTCACATTTGCACACACACACACACACACACACAAACACATGATTACAGCCTACCTAAAGTAACTCTCTGAGTACTCTGTTGACATCAACCTTCATCTCTTAGTAAATGTGGTTCCTGAAAAAGCCTGACATTATTCTTTGGCTGGCAAACTGGTTGTGTCTCAGGTCTATCTTACTGGGAATCCTGACTTCCTGCTGTGTTAAAATGAGTCAACCAATATAAAGGCCCCTGATAGGTATCTAATGTTGTATCAGGCCCTGTGCCTATACCTCTTTTGATATAAACTCTGCTCACAAAGAATTAAAAATTAAGTTGAGTAAATAAAGCAAAGCTGCCAAAAAATCTCTGATGACAAAATACAGGAATGACAAAAAATATCAAATTCAATTCTCTTAGACAGTGGGACATAATGAAGCTGGTTTTGCAAACTGAAATCAAGAAGTCATCAAACTGCCTATAATCTTCTCAAAAGGCAAGGTTGACTTAACAATATCTTAAAACATTTTAAATGTTCACACCCTTTAACACAAAAATCCTGTTTCAAGGAATTTATCAAGAAGTCATGTTTACACTGCTAAGCAGAGTTCCATGTACAAGGGGTTCATGATTGTTTTCCTGAAAGAAAGTAAGAAATAAGTCTAATGTCCATCATAGGGGATTAATTAAAATAAAATATGAAGCATTCATACAACAGAATGCAGTCATTAGAAAGAAAAGGGTAAATCTAGGTAAACATGCCCTAATACAGGTGTAAGTTCATGCTGTATGTGACCTCATTTAATGTTCGTGACAACTCTTTGAGAGAGGTACTGGTATAAACTAAACTCCCTTCCAAGTGTGAAAATTAAGGCTCAGAGAAGTTAAGTGATTTGCCCAAGGTTGCACAGCTAGTAAGTATTAAAGCAGGATTCAACTGAGGTAGTCTGCCTCCAAAGGCAGTATCTTTCAACAATGATTAACCTAAAGAATAGAGCCAAGCAGCCCCAGAGGAATGGTAGGAAGGAAAGGGGACTCTGGCTTTTGTGTAGCTTGAAATTTTCTACTGGGCACAAATAATAATTTGGTAATTTAAAAGTTTATTTTTAAGAGATATGCTGGGTATCTTAATTTCATTTTCCATTTTCCATTTAACATACAGGAAAAATGTCAGAACAAGATAACAAAATTAACAGTTTTGGTACTATATAGCTAAAATACTTTTATTCTCATTAAGATAGTTATAAGAACTTAATACATTTTTGCACTAAATCCCCTATACAAGTAATGGTGAATACCTACCATTTTTACTGAGCTGTTTTACATACCCTAGTTTTCAAACATACCCTTTGTCTATAGTATGTTAGCTCTCAAAAGAGTTTGATAATCTCAGATATTTTCAGATCTTCTAATGGAAAATCATATAACCCTGATTTGATTCACTTGAGGAATAAAATCTTATTAGCCTCTCAAAGCCATTGGGTAAAATTAGGAAGACAGGCAAAATCCCAGCTTCCCTTGACAAATCAGAAAATAGTGATTTCCCATGGCCCTCCCTCTATTTAAATGATAATGCAAGTCTAAAGATTTTTGTCAGTGCAGTTTTTTTCATGGCACAATGCCAAGGTTCCATTTGAGTATTTTTGACAATGTCTTATAATTATTTGTCTTCTATCTACTTTCCTGCTGAGATTTAAATCTATTCAAGAACGGTAATAGAACTTCTGATCGTTTGCTTTTACAGCACCTAGCCCAGAGTTCTACAGTTATTTGATGTATAATGAATTCTGCACATCATGTTTGCTTGCATCTTTTCTTAACTCCTCTTTTATGTGTCTAAGACCAGCTCCTCCTAAGCATCAGATATTCTGCTCTAGTCACTCATAATAAACATCCACCAAGAAAGAGAGGGCACTTTTTCATGCATTGGATAATAGTGATGTGATTAGCGTCTATTGCCTTCTTTCTGTTTGACAGATTTAGAGAAAGGGTAGCAGGTAGCTGACAGAGAAGGGGGTTGACAGTACACTGTAGGTGACGGGAAGAGTATGCACACAGACCAGAAAGAGAAAGGGTTTCAGGGAACTGGAAACAGTTTGGTAGGACAGAAACAAAGATGGCTTATGGGGAGAGAGCTGCAGAAGAGTCTAGAGGGCAGATTGGGCATGATGAGGATGGCCCATGTGCCTCCTGCCTGCCCAGCGATCACTAAGAACACACAAAGCCCTAAAGAACTGAGTAATGAAGAGGAGAGAAGTGTGAAAAAAAAAGAAATAGAATTACTCTACAGAAAAACATCACAGATTTCAAAACATGTCCATATAAATTCAGTGAAGTGGAGAGTGCTGGGGTTACTAGGTCCATTCCAGACACAAGAAAACTGGGACTCAGTGAATTTAAATGATGGGCTACAACTGACCCCCCCAAACCTTTTCTGCCTTGTCCCCTATTCTTTCCACCAACCACAGTTCAGAGCATACACACATACAGTTGAAAGACTGCCAACAGTGAATGAATCTCAGCTAAAGCAATAAAATCAGAAACTATTTGAAGAGCTAAGTTTCCTTGGCACTCGAGTACGCTGTTAGGGTCTGCCCTGCTTGTCCCTCATTCTAGGCTCTGACCCCACATTCCTAGTCCATTATGCTTGTTTACTCTCTGATACAAAAGACTGATAAAGTTCAATGCTCCACATATTCCCCAATCTGCATTTTTACTAGAACAAAGGGAATGACTTCCATTATACAAGTTCTCAGTTAAACTGGCCTACCAACAGTATATGTTTGAGCCAAAGTTCTGTACCAGTGTTTGAGTCACAGGACTTAGACACCTTTATGCTACTACATATAAGGACCAACCTGTCTTCCCCATAGTGATGTTTTTAACTCAGCTCAATCACAAGTGTCTCAAATAAGAAGTCAGTATCTCTATTAATAAAACTACTTTAAAAGTTTTATATGTAGTTCTATAAAATAACTCATTTACTCAACAAATATTCCAATATAATAGGTTAGTAATAAATTCAATGTAAAAATATTATTTAAGGCTGATGCATGTTAGTAAAGGTCATCTTTGATCAAATCACCCTTATTTTTGAAGTTCAATCACACTGAAACTTGCTACACCACCAGAATAATGAAGAAGGCAAGACCAGTTATTTCAAGTGACAAAGGGAAAACTTGACCTAGTTTTGCTGAATTTGTATTTCATTGTTCTTTCTATTCCCTTATATCAATCTAAGTTATACTTAAGTAATTACATAGTTCTCTTTCCTTTCTCAAAGAACTCTAATAGGTAATTTCCCCACACTCCTACTGTATCTACGCTATCCCTAAAAACTGCTTTGTCTAATTCTCATATCTCTGGGCAGGAGGAAAGGGAATTCTTAGAAACCTCATTTAGTAAGATGTTCCCTTATATCTAAGTCATGGAAGAGTAATTTGAAATCCTCTGCTTAAAATATATCTTTATAACCTTTATATATATAAAGTTTATGTAAAATATATAAAGTATATTGTTTTCTAATCCAGTGTAATGAGAAATGTGGCTTTAATTGAACTGTAAGTCATGAGCAGTATTTTATTACTCCTCTAAATATTATGTCTTTTTCTTCCCTTCTGTAATGATAGAAAATTATAGCTCCTTTAAGCAAATTTTTAATCACTGCTGCTATTTTCCTCTGATATTAATGAACAATAATTGAACCATGAACCAAAGTGGAGTTTCGCAAATGTGTGCTCACCATGTAAATTATACTGTGCTGCAAGTTTTTAAGAGCATATTGCCGATACTGAAAATGCTTCACCTAAATAGCTTTGAGCAGGGAAGGTAAAGTGTTGAAGTGGTGAACTGCATTCTTTACTCCCCAGGTTTTTAGGGTGTGGGATATACAGACTCTTTCACTATTACAAGTCTTCCACGACAGCCAGGGAGGGCCAGGAGACATGCAGATTTATTCTATGATATATGATTCCAACCACGGCATGCTTGTCACAGGTGAGAGCACCCAATTAGTGGCAAACAAAAGTTATATGACTTCTTAGCCTTTTCTAAACCAGCACTTGATCACTACCTAGAAGAAGAACAAAACTGGAAGGGGAATTTATAAACTGTGATTCATCACAGCAGATATTTAATTCATTTCTGCCCTTTCCTGTCTTTTCATGGCCGGTGGGTAAAATGTGAAACTACTTCTCTGAAAACACTAGGTCAGTACTCTAAAATCCTGAACTTCGGAAGATGTGGCTTGGGCTAAGCAGAGAAGTGGGAGGTAACCTGAGGCTCCACATACAGCACATTCAGCTGTTTGACTCTTGAAGCAGGAATCAGATCCACCTTGGAGCGGCCGAGCCAGCATGATGATTCAGTGCCCCTTTTCTACAGTGAGCTGGTTTGGCCCCACACATTGATACTGAGATGGTCACTCAGTAAGGAGGGTGCTGACCCTCCTACCTTCCTTTGCTTCTAGGCAAAGAACAGTGGAGAGAAAGGACAGACTTCCAGGTAGTGGATCCCCAGTGCTGATGCCTACAGATTTGGGGCATCCTTTTGTTGCCTCCTTTTCTTGCTGCCTTTTAGAAACACATGCTTACTAGAGAGACAAAAGACTCCACCAGGTATTCAGGTTGAGCACTGTTCAAATTCATACCCTCAGACTTTAGAAGAAAATGAATGTTATTAAGAGTACTTCTTCCAACTGGAACACCCAACCAGAGTCATTCCTAAGCATTTTCCCACTGACCACCTGCCCTGAACTCCTAATGAGAGGAGGAAGTGGTTGGTACTGTCTCTGCTAGTGGAGAATATAATTATTTTTAACTTTGGGATTTGGAGGGAACTTGCACTTCATGCTTGATAGGGAATTTTCCACCTTGTAGAAGAGAACGTAACTCTAGGTGCAAATGTCTGCCCACCCCCACCCCACCCATATCACCTTCTTTAAAATACCATGCTAATGACTGCAAGACCCAACTTCCATGTTTGATTATTGGGTTTAGCATTTCAGTCCCATTCATCATCTGAGTAACTAAGGACTCAAATATCAAGAAAAAAAAAAAAANGCAGCCATCAACCTGACATCAGAACTATATGCAGCCTATTTTTCAGATTTTAATTTGTGCTTTGATTTAAATGAAGTAATCTTCTAGACCCAGCAACAGCAGCACCGCATTCTGGAAATGCTGTAGAATATGCTGCTGTCGTGTCACTGTTGTGACAGCTACCATTTGTATAGTTCTTTCACAGAGGGCTTTCATGTACTTTATTTCATTTATCTGCATATTTACCACTTGAGGTTGGACTTAGTATTTGTTCGACTTTATAAATGACCAAACTGAATATTAAATAGTTCAGCTGACTAGTGGAAGGGTGCAAGGTTGACATGTGGAGCTGGGATCCCATCCCAAAGCTTCTGACTCCCAAATTCACATTCTTTCTCTGTACTGCACTGTTTCCACAGTAGCAGTACAACCAGCCAAAAACAGAGAATTACCACTTGTTAATCAGCACACCCAGCTCCTCTGGTGGCCACTTTGAACACGGTCCCCATCAGTATAATGGTAAAGGATCTACTGAGAAGCCCAGCTGTTGTTTGATTATATACTTACCCTAGTCCTCTCATCTTTCCATACTGAGGTATCCTAACTGAGAAATACTACCAGAAGAGCCATCTCTGTTCTTTACACATGAATAGACACTACCTTAAAATTGAAACACTTTAGGAATATGTTAGTAATTCCTGCTGAAACTTTTCCTTCAGTTGAGATGTCTTTGGAGAGACTTGGCAAACCCAATACAAGAGATTGGCCTTTGGCAATTTAATCTCCATGTCAATAAAACCGATAAGAGGTTTCATTTTTGTTTTAACTATGAACTGCTTTGAGATTCTTATTTATATTTCTAGACATTACACTCAAATGAAATCCATGGTTGATTTTGAGAGAGAAATCCTACTTGCCATTTATGGTATTAATATAAGCCGAAACCAAAGACCCATAGAGACATGCACATAAGGGGTGCCTGCTGTCCATCTACTTCATGTGGTGATTTCGAAGTTAACCTTATTTAATACTGATGTGGCAGGCTGTGGCTCACAAGCATTCTCATCCATTACATTTAATAAGACCATGTTCACAGAGTGCTCTATCAGTCTTTGGTTGAAAGGGGCTCTCTAACAACAAATTGCAACTGTTAAATGGAAGCTTACCTGCGGCAGAAAGCTGGCCCTCACCATTATCACTGTACATGTGCAGCAGGCACCCTGCAGGAGGAGAAAGTAGACTATAGGTGACAGGAAACCAGAGATTGCTGAAAAGAGGCTATCAATGAATCTGAAAGGCCTGCACTTAAAAACAAAGCCCCAAATGAATGCTTTTTTCTGGCTGAATCATATGTGCTTTATTTATGAAAAACATGTTAGAGTAAATGAAAGTATTTCACCTCCTCAGATTTCCTAGGCTTTGATTACTAATCTCACTGATTGGCTGATTCTAAACACAACTGATTGGATAAAAACCTTTGTAATTCAAACCATCTATTATTGGATATTTGAGATTCTTATTTCTCTCCCAGGGTCCAGTGTCATGGACATGTATCCTTTGACTAGGATGGTACAAGATACAAAACAGGTTCCTCACACTCACGAACGAGAAATCAATGTCATGCTTTACAACAAATATTTTCACCAAGTACTTACTATCTGCTCTGAGTCCATAATTAAGGTGAGTACATATTGGCTCCAGAAAGAAAAAGGCAAAGTAGATAGAATTTTCTCTCCTTATGGGTGACTCTTTGACTAATTAAGGAAATGTAGAGGCCCTACATTAGAGCTGTTTTTAAAGCTTTTGTGAACACGTGAGTAACAGGAATGGTAAACCAGCTCAGAATGCTTGCTGTTAAGGTACATGCTCAATTAAATAAGTTTTTATGATCAAAATAGGAATTTTAAAGGACATATATCAAGGAGAGAGAAATAGTGCATATAACATATATATATGTGTGTGTGTGTGTATATATATATTCTTAACTGAGCTATGGGCAGAGTGTATGTGAAGGAAGAGAAAGAAATCTATAGATGTTTACTGTAACACCTATAGGTAGGTGTGGGGTATGTGCCAATGCCTTAAATCAATCATTTTATTCAATCCTCACACTAGTTCTCTGTGGACAGATAAAGAGCTCCATTTTAAAAATGAGGAAACTAGGACCCAAATCATGTAACTAGTAAGCATCATGGCTGGGGTATGAACCCAGGTTTGTTTGATGTAAATAGCCGCGTCCTTTCCTCTGCATCCTCTGGCCTTGTCACTGCGGTTCTCCCCAGAGGCCAAAGTACTTGGCCATTCTAACTGCATCTATAATTACTCTCACTGAAGTCAACTAGCAGTGATGGCTGGAGGCGTCTGCTTCAAGTGTTTACCCTTTAATTTCATGCATACTGTCCAAAAGGAGAGGCATGCAGCAGCAGAGAGCATTCCTCTGGGGACCTTTCTAATCCCCTCTCAATCTCTGACCTTCTGGGCTTGTCTGCTGGAGACTCACTTAGGCCCAACTCTCCTGAGTTAATTTAATTCTCACTTATTTCTGATAATGCCTACAGAAAAGCAGAGAGAAACTAAAACGAAAACCTGTCCTGCTCTCATGAAATACTGCCCTCATTAGGGTAAGATGCCTTCCCTGTCAGGGGAGAAAGGGGAAGGGACACATCTAGGTGAGTCGGCATGCCTGATGGGTTAGGGATGGATCACACACAGGCTAGGAAACAGACGACCTTTGAGACCCACTCATGCAGTGATACACGTGCCCCTTTCTCCTTAAGGACCCTGTCTATACGTGGGGTGGGGGGGTGGGGGGGGGCACACAGAGGTTAAGGGAATGAGCTCAGGGCAGACTGGGTTCATTCAGATCTTAGCCCTGCCCTTCCCCTCACCCTTTGTCTCCTGGCCCAGGGCTATTTCATCAGCTCCTCCTGCTCTCCGTCCAGCCACACAACCTTCGTTCCTTCAGTTCCCTGGAGGGACAACGCACCCTCCCATCTCTGGACCTTTACTTTTGCTGTCTCTGTCACCGAACACTCTGTGTATGACCATTTTGTGTTGTCAGTTCAGTTTCACCGCTCACAGGCAGTATAGTTAACGTGTGAACAAGGCAGATCTGGGAAGAGGGACAGATTCAGACCAAAAGACTACATGTCTAAAGTCTCTATTGTGTTTCCAAAGAGAGAGATTGATGAAATACAATATGTTTCTGGATTTTCTGATTATACCCAGCCTAATTACATAGCCTTCTTTGAAGTCTCAGCCTCTCTCTCAAGAGCTGGCCCCATGTCCCTAATCAATTCTGGATTTTCTGATTATACCCAGCCTAATTACATAGCCTTCTTTGAAGTCTCAGCCTCTCTCTCAAGAGCTGGCCCCATGTCCCTAATCAGAGCAGTGCTTGCAAGGGCAGTGAGCCTTCTTCAGAGTTCTTTCAGGTTCCATGCTGCTAAGCACAGATTCTGGCCCATGCGCCCTGGCCAATATGGATGAGTGTCAACAGAGAAAAAATAGTTTGATTTATTTTGTCTGCTGAATTTGAAATTGTTACATTTCTATCTTGCTGCTAATATTACTTCATGTGTACAGTAATAAAACTGGCCACTTCCTCCACCACCAGGGGCTGCCTGGAATAGAGTCACTGCTGGTCTCAGTCACCTACACACTCCAAGATAGCTCAGTAACCATTAGGCTGCACTACATCTTTTAGAACTTTCCTTGATCAAACCAGCACTCCAGGCAGGATGTTGGGAAAGATGTTAGATGTGCATAATACAAATTTTGAAGCTGTTGTGAATATTGTAAAATTTTTATAAGAACTGAAGGATGTATGTGTTATTTTATTTTTCTTGCTCTTTCCTATAGGTATGGGAACTCGAAACTGGCCTCCAAATATACGAGATTTTAGATCCTCATGGCTTCAACGTTGAACTGACTTCTGCAGCTGTTGATGAAAGTGGACTTATTTTTGCCACAGGAGCATATAATGGTCAGACTAACATCCAGAATATGTCCTCCCTGCCTCAGTATCCTGAGAATTTGTGCTAGGAACTCAGTAGTTGTTTGGGTTAGAGGCGACCATGAGTCAGGCTGGGATATGGAATGAGTGTGTCCTCAGATTGCTGTGTCTGACTGCACGTTCTGAAAAGCTCTTCTCTAATGGGTACTACTGCACTGATATTGGTGTTCAAATAATCAGCACTCACATTACACTTACATAATTGCTTTACAGTTTGCAGAAATCTTTCACCTACAGCATCTCAATCCGTGTTTGGTGGGATTTACCTGTTTTGCAACTGCTCTCAAGCAACTGCTCATTCTGACTTCCCACCACCTAGGAAGGGCTGAGCAGTTCCCCTCCGTGCTCTCAGCCCCATGAAATCAGACTGTGAGAACCAAGGCAGCGGGAAATCTGGGCCATCAAACTGTGGTCCACATACTCAGGAATGAATGAGAGCATGACCCTTTCTTTTAATTGTTTGTATGATGGTTTTCCTACAAGAACCTAAAGTCTCCGAGAGCAGGAATCCAGCCTATTCACTCTTTGTTCCCAGGTCCTCCCATAGTGCTAGGAAATAGGGAGAATTTAGTCAATATTTGATGGCGTTGTTAGTGAACAAACAAATGGCAGGAGTTATTGTGTGGCCAGTGGAGAGGAAACCAGCACAGTGGGCACATTCTGGGTGTCCGGCAGGATTAGGGTTTAGGGATGAAGAGTCAGGAGAGGAGGCAGGGGTAGGGCCCAGGGAGAGGGAGGGGAGAGCACTGTGAGGGGCAGTCCGTCCTCTGGACTCTAAACCTGAGGTGACCACTATGAAAGCCCTTGTCTGAAGGTAATTCCTACTGGGTAACGACTTGAGCAGGTGTTCAAGAACTACACTGACTGCCATACCTCCCGGCCCCTTCATCAAGCTCCCCTAAATCAAAGGAACGAAGTTAACTGTAAAAGGAGAATGCTGTCAAAGGGAAGAAGAAACTCAGCATCCCTTTCACATTTCCTTCCCATGTAACCAATGAAACACCTCAACTCAAAGCTTGGCAGTTTCCTACTTTCCAGAATTCTCCTAAACCTTTTATTACCCAATTAGATCCAAAATCTTAAAACATGCCAGCATTTTAGGAAATGTGACATTATTGGAATGATCTTTCATTATTAACAATAATCACAGCATGATAGTAGGTAGATAGATAGAGAGGGGAATTTAACAAACTGGAAAGCACCAAAGGATAAAGGCAGAAAAGATCCTTTTTAGACCAAAGCTCAGATGGGCAGACTGAGAGCTAGAAAGAAAACTGTCACAAATTTGAAGACATTGCCTGCTTCTGTTCATTTTTATCAGCCTGTGACAAGTCGGAGAATACAGAAATATATTTTGTGTATAGCAAAGCTAGGGACACTCATACATCAGTTTTAGTAGAAAATACAGAATAAATTGTTGGCAGAAAGGTTTCAATGAGATCACTTTTGTCTGAGATAAGAGCCATGCTTTCCATAAATTACTTTTACCCAATGGTCTTTTCTCTGTGTGCTCAGGGACAGTTAAAATCTGGGACTTTGGCAGCGGGCAGGAGCTGAAGGTGTTGCCAGCAGGGAAAGACTGGAAGGAGGATGAGCACTGGGTGCAGAGCCTGTTTTTCCTGAAAGCTCAGGGAAAACACGAGAACTTGCTCCTCGCCTTGGAGCGCAAAGGCAAGATCAAGATGATCCAGGTTTGCAACCCCATTTTCATGTTTGTCCTCCTCTTGGGAAAATTCACTGAGTCAGTGATAATCCCCACTTGACGCCCTTCTTGCCAGCCCTCTGGGGAGAGGATTTCTCCACCAGTCTTCCAAGGATGCTCCGAGATAATCTTGCCCAGATCCAGGAAAAGAGCAAAAAAGAACTGGTGCTCAGCATCCTGCCCATCCAGGTTGGCTGGAGGATTTAGGCAGGAACCTCTGGAGCAGATATCAGAAAGGTTAAATTTACACACAGTTGCCACATCTGACTTGTTTCTGCCTCCTTTGGGGATAATTCGTTGGCACAGCTGCTCCCCAGCAGGCTCTGAAGAGGGAGCAATGATTCCTCCCTGGCCCTTGTAACCATGATGCATTCAGGGATGCTCAAGTCACTTTTTCAGATTATCACCAAAATTGCTTTGTTTACTTTAAGGTTAATGAGTCAATCTGCTCAGGGCTGTTTTGGGAGGATTCAGTAGGTGAATTAATTTTTTTCTGTGAGTCTATTACCACCTAAGAATGCTAATGGCTTCTTCCAATTTAAAATGAAGGCTAGATCATCTATCCTGGCTATTGAGTGGCTCTTTCCCTGCCTAGAACTCAAGGACTCATCACTTTTATTATTCCCCTCCTGAAAGCTAAAATGAGAAACAAAAATACTGAATTAGGACAGTGCTCCCAAAATACCAGCATTGATTACAAGGACTGGTGGTCCTACTGCTGGCAAAAAAGAAAAAGGAGTGAAAAACTTCCCTGACTCAGTATATGCTTCGCTTGCTGTCTGAGGAGTCCGAAATAGAACTGTGGAAAGGAATTTCTTAGCAATACACTCTAACACACAACACCATATTGATTTCTCTTCTTCAAGTTAGTACAACTGACTTTCAGGATGCCCTTCCTAACAGACAATGCCTGTTATAACTGCTTCTGTTTTAAGGACTGCAAAGTGCAGCAAGGTGCCATTCCCACATCAAAACTGGTTTGGGTTCTACTAGAGCATGTTTCACCGTGATTGTTCTGGTTCTTTGTGTCTCCAAAACTACATTGATTAAGCCTGTTGTGGACTGAAAATCTCTCTTATTCATATTTGTATTCTTGTCCTGCCCAAAGTAGATGCTCATTAAGGACTGAATGAATAAAAAAATATAAGAAACCTCTTGTAAAATATTCAGTAATAAATGCATGGAAGGTTTTAAAGAATTTTTATTAATGTTGGAGGGGGGAGTTTACCATAAGCATAATGTTGAAGGCATACTTATGACTTATTATTATTAATGCCTTATTACTGTTTAGTCTTTCTTGCCTATTGAAAATAAGATATGGTTCGATTTAAATACTTATTTTCTAGGATACTTTCATTCATTTAATTTTTTTTTTCAATGAGCATTTAGCAAATGTTTGCCATGGACCAGAAAGATATATTTCCTTTCACCATGGAACTTACAATTTAATGTGAAGAATATTGATCTCTCTATTACAAGTGTTATAAATGCTTGTGCAAAGTGCTACAGAAATTTGTGATGGTGAGTGGTACCAAGCCTAATCTGGGAGTCAGGAAAAATTTGTCTTTCCACTGATTTCCAATTAAATTCAACACAATTCAAGAGGCACTTTGTGTGTTCTACATGTGCTAGGTATTTTTCCAAATCTCAGGATTCTATAGAAAATAAGGTATTCATACACTAGTTAACTCAGATCAACCTTCCATTGAAAACATCTAAAAATTCTGGATAAAATAATTTCCTAAATCTCTTAACTAGCATTAAAGAAAAATATACTATAAAATATAGTAAGTAAATAGCAGACAAACACTAACCCTACTCAGGTTGCTAGTTACCTCTGGAGAGGTTAGAAGAAAAAGGAATTCTATAGGGCAGGGATAGATGGGGTTTAAAATTTGATAGAGCTGGGTGGGGGGTACATCATTGTATGTTCTATTTCTCTCTGTATTTTTAAAGTAGCTCACAATAAAATAACTGAATTGTTCATGTACCCACTGGCTTTTCCTGAAAGGGTAAGGAAGACAGTGTTTGTCTGGTGGTGATATGGGAGCTGCCTGATGCCGTGCCTGTCCTCCATGCGGGGAATCGCGTTGTGCATCTGAAGACATCTCCTAGAGATAGGAGCATGGACAGTCCTTTCCCAGACGTTGAGTTGATAGCTGACAAAAATTTTTCTCAACATATTAAGGTATGTTTCATTTCTTGATTTTCCCCCCTTCTTATTATGGAAAATCACAAAAATATATAAAAGTAGAGAAAATAATACAACAAGCTTCTATGCCTTGTCACACAGCTTCCTTTATTAGCTGTAATGTGCCTTTAGAGAAAACCTATTATGTACTATTTGGTTATACAACGAGGTACAGTTCATACAGGAAATCAAAATAGCTGATTGTTTCTTTCCCTATATTTACCAGTTTTCAAGTGAGGGGTAGGCTAGCATTCTCCAAAGATGGCCAGAGAATTTTATTTGCTCAGTATCACAATCAACTCACAAATTTAAATATTCTTAATGTATTTCAGTCAATGGTATTTGTTATTATTATTGACTGATGCTCAAACTCATGCTGGTTGCATCTTTCCCAGGTCCCTGAGTTCTTTTGACATGACCAGTTGTGTTATTCTGGATAATTTCCCAGTATGACAAGATATTCCAGGTTCATTTTGTACATTTCTTGTTCCAGATTAGAAATCCACCATTTCTCCAAGAAACCTTAGTTCTTTTTAGTGGGAAATAGTATTAAGAAACTGCAATCTGGGTTTTGACAATCAATGAAGTTTAGCACTGCAATTAGAATTAATTCACTGCTAGTTTAAATTATAAGTAGGTATTACTGTTTACTAAAAAAAAATTTGAAATCAACATACTCAGTGCATGATAACATTGTCATGTAATGTACACAAAAAATAAAGAAAAAATACATCTCCTCATGTAGTAATTATCACACACTTCTTCCAACTCCACATGCTATTAGAAACACTAGGCTCAGTTCTACGGTGTGGTTTGGAGCCCGTAAAAACAGAAACAAGCTGGGTGCACAGTGAGTCAGAACCAATGCAGCTGGAAAGTTATTACATGGGTAATGAAAAATGATTGTTTTGAAAAGGAAAAAATTTGAATAAATTACTGAAAAAATTATTGAAGTAGCATGGAAGAGCCTTTTAATATTTTCATGAAAATATAAATTATCTCTGATTTTGAGCCTTATGTTATATTTATCATAATTAGCATTCATAGTACTTTCTTTTCACTACACACTCCAAAATTACTCTATAGAAAGTCAGTTTGCAAAAGTCACTCAGGAAGAAAAAAATGGATTGTGCATGGAAATTCTCTTTCCTAAAAACTCTTGCATTTATGAGGCACTATTTTATTGAACACCTAATATAGGTCAGGCACTGTTTTTGGCACTGGGCATAAAAAGATTAATGAGTTTGGTAACTGCACTATTGCACTATAGGAGTATAGCTGAGAGCTTGGAGGGCTGGACCAGAGGAGGTTTCTGAAGAGGACAATTGCTGAATTAGGTCTGAAAGAATTATCAAGAGTTAGCTTCACCCACATAGGGCATTTCTAGGGGCAGTTGAGAAGAACAAAGTGAATTCCAAGTGGTGGAGATAACATGAAAAAGTCATGGAAGTAAGAAATTGTAGGGCTTGTGAAGGGTAACTGTAAGTATCAGTGTGGCTGAAGGAAGACTGGGAATAGTAGAAGATGAAGATAGAGAGATAGGGAGGGGCTATACCATGCTCACAGTGTTAAAGAGCTTGAATATCCTAAAAGAAATGGAAAACCACTGAAGGGCTTTAAATGAAAAATAATCAATAAAATAATCAATGTGATACCCCACATTAACAAAATGAAGGATAGAAATAATATGATCATCCCATTTGATACAGAAAAAGCATTTGACAAAATTCAACATTCATTCATGTTAAAAATTCTCAACAAGCTGGATATGTGGCAATGTATCTCAACGTAACAAAGGCTATGTATGATAAAACCACAGCTAACATACTCAAAGGTGAAAAGATGGAAAGCCTTTCCTATTAAGATCAGGGACAAGAATGCCCACTCTCCATTTTAATTCAACATAGTGCTGGAAGTCCTACCCACATAAATCAGACAAGAAAAAGAAATAAATAACATCCAAGTTAGAAAGGAAGAAGTAAAACTGTCACTATTNTGTGCATGCCTCCAATATAGCACTTTCAAACTGTATGGTATTCAACACTTTAATAGTTTAATTTTTAAGTTTCTCTAAGTCATAAACATTCTATTTGACTTTATATTTCAAAAGCCTAACATAGTAGGTGCCAAAAAATACTTCAGGCAAGACAGTTGAAAAGTATCAAAATAGCACTTAAAATAGAAAGTGCTTAGTGAAAATGAGAAAAAGTTTTCATAAAGTAGCATGGTGCAAAAGCCAAAAATGAGTGAAAGGCAGTTCAGCCAATAAGGAAAAATAGCTCATGTAGATTATTCTCTCAAGAGGTTTGAAGGGAAGAGAATGCTGGGAAGGTAACCTCATGGTTGGCAGCTCAGGAAAAACAGGGCTGAGAGGATGAAGCCAGTAGAAAGGGAGAGCATATTTTGTTGTTGTAATGAATTCTATAAATTGAAAATTTTTAATGCCAAAAAAAGAAAAAGATTTTTCTAAATTTCATGCCTTGAAACTTAAAAACATCATCATAAGACATTCTGTCCTAAGTTAATGATCGAATAACAAAGCATACACATAGCATTTGTACTGTGATTAGATACTATGTTCATAATGGCCAGTGAGTCTGTTTCCTTCCCTCCTTCTCCAGAATCCTGACATCCATATGGAAGTAAACTGCATTGATTTATTACAAGTAGAAGGATATAATTTGATAGCTACTGGAACCTCAAATGGTGTGATCATCTTATGGAATTTTGTAACGTCTACTGTCAAAGAAATGTAGGTTGCATCTTTTCCTGAAACAATATAAAAGTTGTACTGCAGAGGGGTCAAAGTAAATTTCAATTCTTAAAAAAAGAGCAATAAATAAAAATAGTGATAATTATCAAGGGAGGCTTTCCTGGAGGACGTGTTCATGAGGAGATTATGTTCTAAGTGTCTAAATCCCAGAATGATATGAATCGGGTGAACCTTAAGTGTCTGTATTCCCAAGTGCTTTGGCTTTTATTCTTCTCGCTCTAGTACATGCTTTCCTGTGTGATCATGTCCAAATTCATAACCTCAACAAGTACTCAAAATCTGTAATAATTTTAAATGCTCATCTCCCCAGAGCTCCAAACACACTTATCTGGCAATTACCATTTGGAATGCCACCACCAAACACTTAAAGCCCCACGTGCACAAAACTTGGTCCCAACCTGTTCCTTCTCCAAACATCTCTTCCTGCATTTCCAATGACACCAACATCTACTCGGCCACCAAAGTCAAATGATGAGAGGCATTCTAGATGGGTTTTCCTTCTCATTCACCACGCCAACACAACCATGTCATTCCAGGTGAGCACAAACAAGGGCATGGCATATACAATTTAAGTCTCAACCAATTATATTTGCTCTGTACCATGGCTAAAAACTTTACCTTTCCCATGCCATCCATTTCTAAATTTTCTTACCATTGGTTATAAAGGAAAAATGCAGCATGCATTATTTGCATGGATCATAAATAATAAACTCTCCCCAACTGAGTGGGTTATAAGCAAAGGCTATGTGTGAACACACTATGTCAGGGGAGTTTGTTATATTGTACCTTAAGATACAAGATAGTCAAAATCTCAATGAATGAATAAAAATGGAATCAAGCATAAGCATTTGGAAGAAAGCAAGAAGTATAAAGGAGGGGAAAAGGGAGTCAGAGAGGACAAGGGAGACGAAAATATGCAAAGGAAATCTCTGCCTCTGCTTTTACAGTGCCTTGCATACTACTGGTCTACCTGGACTCCATTCCCCTTTCCAGTCTAAGTCTGAATGCTTACTTTTAACTAACTTTTGAGAAGACATGTCCTGTGTGGACCCTGGATTTATTCACCTTTGGCCCTTTAGTTGAAGTAGCCGTTTCTGCAGACGCCTCCTCTGTACCTCAGCCCACGTTCTCTTGGGCCCTGCCCTTAGAGACCTGTCATCCTTTTGCTCCTTCTCTTCAACCCTTACCCTTAGGCTATTCTCAGTCTGAACATTTGTCATTTTATACCTTTATCAACATGCAATGCACAATTCCTCACTTTCTTATAAATGCAGCTCTCACACTATAAGTGTTAGCTTGTGCATGACTCTATTAAGGGAAAGCAGACTAAAAAGCCAAGACCACAGTCCTGATTGCACAGCCTAAAGAGGGGGAAGCTTTCCTGAACATATTCTGCACTTAAAGTTGGAGATCTTCCTTGTTGAAGTGCTTGGCATTTTGCCAAGGGATGCATGCAAATCCAACACCCAATTAAGAAAATGACAATAGTGGGCCACACACTGTGTCCCCTTCCTATAAGATGATGATTACACAAAAACAATTCATTTAAAATTACTGGAGTATTTTAGAAAACATATAATAGAAACAGAACTGTCAAATGTAATTTAGGCCCAGCCTGAAAGGCTCTGAAGTTGAAGGTAGTTTCCACATTCATGGGGGAGGCTCTCTCTACTTCAACCTCAAACTTGGCCTGCGATTCTTTCACCAATCAGGAGAAATGGCCCTTCCCTTCCTGTTCAGTCTCATGCTTTTTTGGGTTCAACCTAGAAATCATTCTTACTAATTAATAATTCACTTCACCATTCAACTCAGCTGCAGGGCAGTACTATCTAAAAGTCTAAGCACAACAAGTTGACAAGCCCATGGGCTTCTCTTTGGAGCCTGGTCCATTCCCAAGGTTCCTTCATGACTCAGCAGTCCAAATTAGCTAAGGCAGTTTCCACTAAAGGAGAAGAAGCATTTTGCAGCAAGGTCTATTCGCTATAGGGAACGGTAAGTGTGGTGCTAAGAGCCAAGGCTGAAGTGCCAGGGCGGCAGGTAGGGACTATCACTGCTCCAAGAACTGCCAAGGAAGGTGTATGATTCTTCAGAATCTGGGTCATAGGAGGCTTGAACAGCAAGAGTAGAGTCATCACTGAATCAGCTGCTTGTCTACACTCAGTTTTAAGTTCCTTGAGAAAATATTTTATTCCAATTTGTCACTCCACTTATCCAAAGAGTATTCTATTCTTTAAATTGTATGAAACTTCCAAACTTCCATACTGTAAGAGACAATATTAAGCCCACTCTATGACCTGTAAGTAGGAAGACTAGACCAGCTGAATGAATTAAAAGACTTTTAAATGCTAATGATCATGTTATACATAGCCTTACTAAGGAAGATATGTTCAAACTCTACACCTCTGGGTTCTCTCTTCATGTTCAATTACATCAACATTTATGTAGGATTTATATATACATATAGTAGTTGATCAGCTCTGCATGGGAAATATTATACACATAATGTAAGTTACCTAATTTGTAAATGTTTATAATGTAAATATATCCTTATCTCCAGGTATCGACCTGAAGATCTTGTCGCTGTGGATGCTGACTTGGATCCCAAACGCTTTAGAATTAATGACATATTGTTTCTCTTTCGGACCCCTGAATGTGCAAGGTAACTCAGCACCTGCTAATCAGAAATACTGTCTGGGACTTACGTGGGTGACAGGAAAAGAGTTCCTATTCCAGCAGTAAGGAAGGTACTATGGAAGAAGGACATCAGCTGGGTTGACTTCTTGGCTGCAGCTCTTTTCCCTGTTACTGTCTTTGTAGGTGGGTGGTCTCCAGGGACCTAATTTGCTGTGTGGGGATCTAATCTCCATTACCACATCAGCCTCACAGTTCCCTTTACAACAGTAGCAGATGTGGAAAAAGCTGACTTGGCCACACTTGTAGCCAAATCTAACTCTATAAGCACTGATGTGAAGCAGAGGAAGGACTTGCAGGACAAACAGGAAAGGTCATATGGTGGTAGGTTTCATATAACATCCATGAAAACTGCAATCTCCATCCATGTCTGACGCAGCAGGGGATTGTTTTTTCAATACTTATGAAAAGGTACTTTTCCTATTTGTATTTGCTCAAGAGCTCTGATTTTCAGGCAAGGCAGTGGTGAACACATCTCTCAAGAGAAATGAAAAGCTTCTGTGCTAGCTTTGGCTCCCCCAGCAGTGAGCCAGAATATAGTGCCGCTCCTACCCCTTGACTTGAAATTTCCTTGTTCTGAGAATGTTCTTGAGAACTCGTTCTGCATATACCTGAGCCAGACCCTGCATATACCCTAAGCAATTTTCAGCACCGTCTACAGAGCATCGCAGACACAGAACAAGGCCAGAAGTGGAAACTATAGAGCAGAAGTTAGCCAGGCTGTTCAGGCCCTGCCATTTCCCTGTCAGAGCCTCTGGGACTAAATCGAGCCTCAGCAGTGGGACAGGGCAGATGTTTATTTCCCAGATCCAGGCAGCAATATATCTTAATTGCTGAGCCTCCCCAAAAGTCTCCACAAATTCCAGACAGATGAACATTTATTACACAAGACATAAGGTGTGCATTATTTCATAAGTGTGTAGCTCATATCCACAGATGTAATCAACTGAAACTAAAGCAGAGAAGAGCACCCTTTGAGTATGATAGAATATTTGAACTTTTCCTCCTTGGGCTTCCTCCCTCTCCTTGTAGGAGATCAAGTCAGGATTCTGTATGCTTTTCATCCCTATGTGACTCTAGTAAGGGTCCACAAAGTAGCAAGGTAAGCAAGAAATGTGGAGAGAATGGGGAGCATATGTCTTCCTGTCCCACCCAATGCTGGTTCAAAAATAGTGATTTCTCACTTTGATAGAAGGTAAAGGTGGAAAAATTCTGTATGTATGAAAACTTTTTTTGTTTGCCCTTAAAAGCAATGTCTAAACTATTTTTTCCTTTTTTTAAAATTTTTTTCAAGGCTTTCTTATCTGCAAATAATATGTAATCATGAATAATATTAATTATATATACTACTTTTATATTTGCAAAATAATAAAGTAATTTCAGACTACCTCCTTTGTGAAAAAGGATTGCACACATTTCACAGGGCGGAGAGACAACACATGATGTAATGTAGTGATTTTTAAACTATGTGCTCAGTTCTAATTTTACATATTTTTACACATTACTTTCTAGTTAAGATTTTGTTTGAAGGAAAGTTTTCAGTGCAAAGATTACTTTAAAACCACTAGCATAGTGGAAAGATTAAAATTGTAAGGATGTATGAGTCACACAGACTTGCACTTGAATGCAAGTGCTCCATTTATTATCTGATTAGTTTTAGAGATATGACTTAATCTCTGAGTTTGTGCTTCCTCATCAGTAAGAAGGGAGTAATAAAGCCTACCTTGCATGTTGTTAATAGAATTAGAGATAATATGCACCAAGGATGTGGCAAGCATGAGGCATTTAGTGACTCTCACTATTATGCTCTACCTGAGCCACTAGGAAAGTGTTGTGTTACAGAGACCCTACTTAGGAACACAAAAATCTCTGCAATACATTTTTCAAAGAAGTACTTCAAAAAGAATTTGGAAACCAATACTTAGAAATGTAAATTTAACTATCTGAAGAATCTACTCATCCAGTATATCTCATTTCCTTACAATGTCATATATGTATTTTCTCTTTTTCTCCCCAATGCAGGAAAGCAAACAGAGTGTACATGACAGTGAGGTTAAAGGTCAGTGTGAAACCACCTCTCTTCCTTACAATAAAACAAGTCCTTTGCAATAGGGAGTTTAGGTGATAGAATGCACTTAATGAATATGTAATTCATTTTGTGACTAAATGTGGAAGTAGTATAGGATTCGGTAGTCTAAGGGGCAGACTTTCCGTTATGATTAAGACCATTTTAAATACTAATTCTAGATTTCTAAAAGTCCAATATATTACTTGCTTCTTAGTCTCCGGTTCATTTTCCTAAAACTTATACCAGGTTGATTGGCCATTCTGGATAGCAGGACTTACACTAGATGTGTATCCGGTGTTTGCTGTTATGTACAGTGCAGAAACTTTTGCAGTAAGACCAAAAATAAGCTTTTTAAGTTTTGTCGATTATCCAGAATTCCTTTTGTTAATGCTTTTTCTTTGTTGTCTGCTCTGATTAAAATTCTCTGGGGTCTCTTTTCCTACCTGCCTTCTCCTTTATGTCTCATAAAATTTGGAATTCCAAACATGCCTAATGGTTCATTAATTTTCCAATAGGTGAGCAAACAGATGTCCCAGTGCGAGAGCAACAGCCAGTGGACAAAAAACATCCTGGAGACAGCAGTTTAACAGATGCTCAGCCACCTATCCTCGTCACTGCTCATGAGGATGGCCACCTCCGTTTATGGACAATAGAGGTGATGGGGCCCATTACTTACCTGGAATAGCAGATAACGGGAAAGATAAAAAGGTTTAGTGAATGAACTTTTAGCCTTTTTCTATGTGACATTCAATCTAAAACTTCTCAACCTTATAGTTTTGCAGCCTGCTTGTCAAAAATGCTACTCAAACTTTACAAAAATCAGGTTTTGTAACTCAACAGATCGAAATGACCAAAATTGCTGAGTTACCTATTTCAGATCTTCTTTTCTTTAAAGTGAGCTATAAGTACATGTCAGTAAGTATTTTGTTGGATATTTAAGTAATATTAAATGAGGATATGTGATGCAGTATAGTCAAAAAAATAAGAACACAAATGTTGAGAATACATAGATTTTAGTTATCCACACTATTGGAAGAAGATATTAACATTTCATCCTTAAATATTTTATAATGAAAAAAAAACTTTCATCTGCCAGAAGATCTTGGCAAAGGGAGGTGACACCACTTCTTGTAAGACTCCTTTCTAAGTGGAAATTCAGAAACAGCAACAGTTTTGTATGGTAGATAGTGGGACCCGAAAACACAGAACAGCATAGCTGTCTGCTGGACACAACCCACAAGTCCAACAGATCCTAGATTATTAGTGGGGAACTGTTGGCTTGAAAGTACAAAATATAACAACTTTCTCTGAGATGATTTTGGTATTGGAGCAATGCCTTCTTTTTTTCTGATAGAGAAATAAGAGACAGAGAAATAGGAGAAGAAAGAGCATATCCAAAAAATTCTCAGGAAATGAGTAGCAGATACAAATTCTTTTTCTCAAGTTTGGATGTTTATTCTCCATGGGAAGCAATGCATGTGAAAGTTCTTCCCAGTGCTGACTTACACTAAGTGCTGGAAAGCAAACTGCTGGATTTGAATCTTTTACAAACTCTTATCTTGAACCAAAATTCAAAAATAAATTATTTCTGAGGCAGCAAATACAATATTATGCTTAAATCAAGTGAGATATACTTAAACCTAAAAAAGAGGTCTAAGGAATTGAATGAAAGGGGATATGGGAAGTGCAAAAAACAACCCCTGAGTTTAAAGATGATCTATAATAATCAGAGACTAGATGCCTATAATTAATAGCTGACTATACCTTTATGAATATTTGCTTTCAAGGAAATAAGTCCCTATGGATAGTTTTTAGTTATTTTTATTTCAGTGAAGAGGATCATGTTTCAGTAGTACAGGTAATTCTTAAGATGGCTTATTTATAGAGAAACTCAACTCCAATATTAAGATTGCATTGAATTTATTGTCATATTTTGTTCAGGGAAAACTACTGAAAGATATGCTCCCTTTCACAAAACATTCTGCCATTTCTCTGACGTCGCTGTGCACTGATTCATGTACCAGAATACTACTGACCGGAAATGTGGGTACGTCATTACTCTTCTGCAGTCACCACAGGTTATTTTAACATCCTACGTGATATAAAAATGGATATAGGAGATTATGTGAGTTTGTTGTTACAAAAAGAACAAGAGGATGCTCAAGCTTTAGAGACAGTGTGTTGTGGATAGCTTGCTGAATAAATAGAGCTATTAATGAACGTCAGGAGAACCTACTGCATTCCTATTTCTTTATTTAGAGCCAGACATTCATTCTCTTTCTTCCTTCTTTAAATTGGGTATATGACTACCCATCCCTTCACCATAACTATTGAGAAGAATGTAAAATTTTCATTTTTAAACTTGAAAGGGATATGTTGCATTAACCTTCATTATTAAAGGGATTAGGGGTGTGGACTAGAAAGAGATTATTTGTTTTCAATTCATTTCATTTTATATTTATTATTATAACTAATATAGTTGGTCTTAATTCTTTCATGTAACATGATTTGTTTTAATGCTTCTTTTCTTCTTTTGAATTAATCCTAAATTTTTCTTCTTTTCATCCCTCCCATACTTTGAAAGACGATGTGTATGTGTGAATGCACATGCATGTGCAAATAGTTCTTAATTTTACTAGTGTTTACCTTTAGGTTTTTTCTTTAAATGAACCAATTTGTGATAGTTTAGACTGAAACAGCATCTTTTCAGTTAAACAGAAACCTTGGCCCACTTTACCATTCTGTTTCCCACACGTACCCCTTCACTTATCATGTGCTAATATAATCTTAGATTGCTATCCAGATACTACCATTACATTAATATTAAAATTTCACATCCTCTAAGAATACTTTTCTCATCTCAAAGGTTATTTTACAAAAGCCACAAGAAACCATTGTGTACCATCAATTATTTGAGTCTGAAGATCACAAAAAACAATTGTTTGTATTTGCATTTAGTATCATCAGTAGATTTACAATTTTAATTTAAAGGATTTATTGCTTACCACCAGTTCTGCTATACTCTACCATTCTTATTCTTGACCTTAACTTTTATTTATCTGTCAGTCTCCATAGTTCTTGTGAACACTGTTGCTGCTTGTAGAACACTAGTAGATATGTGGTAAAATTTTTCCTTTCTTAAAATAGCCTGCACATTTTTGCACAAACTTTACCTACTATGGGGTAGGCCTTTTCTAACAAAATGTAGACTAAACTTTGAAACCATCTACAGGATTCTCAGAATGCACCTCCATCAGAGTTATTCCTCTTTGCCTCTGTCCTGAATGCTTGACTCTCATAGAAACCATCTACTTCTTGAGATTTGTCATTTTGCTCTGATCTAAAAATATAGAGTGGGGTGGGTTTGGGCTCCAATCCACCCTTATCTATATTATAATTAAAGGAGACTTCTCCAGAATCTGACCTTAGGCTTCTTCCTTCTGTGCTATGGTAGATGTTAAAAGAACTTGTACGGGTCTTGCTATCTAATTACTGTTTTAAATCAGGCATCCTTAGACATCATTACTTGTCACTTTTTTGTTGTTATTTTCCTATTTTTTAATTGGAATAAAGTTAATATACAATATTATATTGATTTTAGATGTACAACATACTGACTCAATAATTATAACCATTATTAGATGCTTGCCATGGTGTGGTTCCCCCTGTTACCATACCAAGATATGACAATATTATTGGTTATATTCTATATGTTATACTTTCATTCCTATAACTAACTTGTTCTACAATTTTCAGTTTGTACCTCTTTATCCCCTTCATTTATTTTACCCATCCTCTTACCCCCTCCCTATGGTAACCTAAATAGGCTTTATTTTTTAGATCAGTTTTAAGTTCACAGAAAAATCGAGCAACAATTATAGAGAATTTCCATATACCCCCTGCCTCCACCCCCTCCCCCACACAGCCTCCTACATTTTCAACATCCTGCCCTAGAGTGGTGCACCTATTATGGCTGGTGAGCCTACACTGACACATCATTATCACCCAAAGGCCATAGGTTACACTAGGGTTCACTCGTAGAGTTGAATATTCTGTGGGTTTTGACAAATGTATAAAGACATGCATCTACCATTACAGTATCATACAGAATAATTTCAATGCCCTAAAAATCCTCTATGCGCTGCATACGTATCCTACCCTACTCCTTACCCGCCTAACAACCATTGATCTTTTTATGGTTTCCATAGTTTTGTCTTTTCCAGAATGTCATGTTGGAAATCATAAAAGTATGTAGCCTTTTCAGATTCGCTTCTTTCACTTACTTAATATGCATTTAAGTTTCTTCCATGTCTTTTCAAGGTGGGATGTCTCATTTCTTCTTGACACTGAATAATATTCCATTGTCTAGATGTACTAGTTTATTTATCCTTAACCTGCTGGATGACATCTTGGTTGCTTCCAAGGTTTGACGTAATGAATAAAGTCACTGTAGGCACACCTTGAAGCTACTGCAGGTTTGGCTCCAGAGCACTGCAATAAAGTGAATATTGCAATCAAACAAGTTAAAAGAATTTTTTGGTTCCCCAGTGCATGTAAAAGTTATGTTTACATTATACTGTAGTCTATTAAATGTGCAATAACATTATGTCCAGGAAAACCAAGTACCTAGCTTAATTTTAAAATATTTCATTGCTAAAAAATGCTAACCATCATCTGAGCTTTCAGCAGGCCATAATCACTGACCACAGATCAATGTCACAAATATATTCATAATGAACAAGTCTGAAATATTGTGAGAATTCCCCAAATGTGACACAGAGAGTGGAGTAGACAAATGCTGTTGGAAAAATGGCGCTGATAGACTTGCTCAGCAAGTGGTTGAAACAGAACTTCAATTGGTAAAAAAGGCAATCGCTGTAAAGTGCAATGCAGTCCAATAAAATGAGATATACCTGTAAAAACATCCATGTGCAGGTTTTTGTGGGGACATAAGTTTTCAACTCCTTTGGATATCTACCAAGGAGAACATACAGTAAGAGTACGTTAAGTTTTGTTAGAAACCGCCCAACTGTCTTCCAAAGTGGCTGTACCATTTTGTATTCCTACCAGCAATGAATGAGTTCCTGTTGTCCCACATCCTTATCAGTATTGATATTTTCACTGTTTCGGTTATTGACCATTCTAATAGGCTTATAATGGTATCCTGTTGTAGTTTTAATTTGTATTTCCCTAATGACATATGATATGGAGCAACTTCTCATGTTTCTTTGTCATCAATATACTTTCTTGGTGAGGTGTCTGTTCACATCTTTTGCCCAGTTTTTAATCAATGTGTTCATTTTCTTATTGTTGACTTTTAAGAGTTCTTCATATATTTTGGATGAGCTCTTTTTCAGATACGTCTTCTCAAATATTTTTTCCCAGTCTGTGGCTTGTCTTCTTGAAGTTCTTTTGACAGTGTCTTTTGCAGAGCAGAAGTTTTTTATTTTAATGACATCCAGCTGGCCAATGACTTCTTTCATGGATTTTACCCTTGGTGCTACACCTAAAGTCATCGCCAAACCCTATGTTCATCGAGATTTTCTTCTAGGAGTTTTTATTGTTATTTTTATTTTGTTCTGTTTGTGAAAAGTGTAAGGTTTGTGTCTAGGATGACAGCTTTTTTCATGAATGGATGTTGGATTTTTTCTACTGCTTTTTCCGCATCTCTTAATTGAATTTTGCTCTAATTTTTATTATTTCTCTTCTTCTACTTACTTTGGATTTAATTTGTAATGCCTTGTGTACTGCCTCTCTTTATCCCTGATGCTTTTCCTGGCTCTGGTCTTCTCTGTTTGAATTTAATATAGTTACTCCTGCTTTCTTTAGATTAGTATCAGCAGGGTAAATCTTCTCTATCCCTTTACTTTTAATCTGTATGTGTCTTTATATTTAAAAGACTTCTTGTAGACAATATAGAGTTGGGTGCTGTTTTTTAATCTATTCAGATGAACTTTGTCTTTTAATTGCTTTATTTAGACTATTGACATCTAAAGTGATTATTGATATAGTGTTGAATCAATATCTACCATGACCATGTTTCTTATTGTTTTCTATTTGTTGCCACTATTTTTTGTTCTTATTTTTGTCTTCCACTCTTCTGCCTTTTGTAGTTTTAAGCAAGCATTTTATTCCATTTTCTCTCTTTTAGCATATCAATTATACATCTTTTTTATATTGTTTTAGTGGTTTCCCCAGAATCTGCAATATACATTTACAATTTTCTGTCTACTTTTAAATAACACTATACCACCTCATGGGTAGTGTAAGTACCTCACAGTAACAAAGTATCCCTAATTTCTCCCTCTCATGCCTGGTGTCATTACTGTAATTCATTTTGTATTCACAAGTTAAAATAATCAAATACATTGTTTCTGTTATTATTCTCAATAAACTGTTATCTGTTAGCTTTTATCTTCACTTATTTCTTCCCTTATGTTCTCCCTTTCTATATGTAAATCTGAGTTTCTAACCTATGTGACCTATTTCCTTCTCTCTTAAGAACTTCTAACATTTCTTGCAAATGGGTCTACTAGCAACAAACTCTCTCAATATTTGTTTGTTTAAGAAAGTCTTTATTTTACCTTCACTTTTGAAGAATAATTTCTCAGGATACAGAATTCTAGATGGATGGATTTTCTCTCAACACTTTAAATATCTCACTCCATTCTCTTCTTGCTTGCATGGCTTCTAAGAAGTCAGATGTAATTCTAGTCTTTGCTTCTCTATAGATACGGTATTTTTTTCTCCTCCAGTTTCTTTCAAGATTTTTTTCATTATCTTCAATTTCCTCCAGTTTGGATATGCCAAGGTGTAGTCATTGTTGCTTTTTTTAAATCTAGTTTTTGTAACTGTCATTTAATTGGAGGGCGGTTTGGACTCCGTTTGGCAGTGGTATATTCATTTCTATATCATCTACTCTGATGTCTAGAAGTGCTCTGACTTGAAATGTATATGGCAACCTCATTATGACTCATTAAGGCAAAAACAAAAAATTGATACACACAAAAATTGATATGAAATTTCTTACTTCATACTTGGTTTCTCAGATCCTATTTTATTTATCATTTTAACTTCCTAAATCAAAATAACTTGGCAGTCTGGGTAGTCTTTACATAGACAACAGGATATCTAATTAAAGATGCCCATGTTTACATTTTATACAGAAGGACATGTTACCCTTTGCAGTATTAGTTCCTTCCTGGATCCACCTCATGATGAAAAGGTAAGAACTTTAGTTTTAGTTTAATTCCTGAATCAGCACATGTTTATTGAGCATTTCTCTGTAATACATACCACAAAAGATAGAAAGGCAAGACTCCCTACTCTCAAGTCATATATAATACTAGTGAAATTTAAGCTACCTGCCAAATAACAATGATCTACTTGTGAAAAGAGAGGGTGAGTGAGTCAGTGCAGGAGTGAGCCAGCCACTGGTTATTTTGCTCCTCTTCATGTTTTGATGGCTTTGTGAGAATCTATGTAAAACCCCAGAGTTTAAAAGAGTTCATACATCCTCTGTCTCTCCACAACCAGTTTCTATATCTTACGCATCTTCTCTAGAACCTCTCTTTGGAAGCTTAACCTAATGCCCAATCATTCACATATTCAAGAAAATCCCTCAGATCTAGTCTAAATCCTCTTTATAATTCAAACATATTTTATTCTTTTTAGTGTTAATGTCACTATCCTATTTTATAACCATTTAAATATGCACTTACATGTATGTAGATATACAAATATATCTATGTATATTATAAAGACTCAACACTAATTAAAGATTGCAGCAAGAAAGCACTACTTTTGCATAGCTTTATTTCTCTTTAAATTCATAGTTCAAATCTAAAAGGTAAATATTAGCTTAAATAATAATTTTTTTTAGTTTTGAATCATAGATGTTAACATCTAGATACATAAATTAGGGTTGGATTCCTTGCACAGTGTCAGACCAATTTTCAAACATTTTTTCATTTGATTTATGGATTTTCCTTTTGATTTCCAAGAACCCATTATAATTTTACAATATCAGATATATAGCTTTAGTAATGATTATCTCTACTTTGTAGAAAGGAAATCAGAGAGTGGCTTGCCTAGGATCACATGATTAATTATGAAGTCAGGGTTAGAACCAGGGCTCTCATTCTCTAATCCAATGCTCTTTCCATTTATAACACTTACTGCTATCAAATGGAAAACAGTAAGGTTCAAACAACTTGTGAAGCACAGATTCACTTATCAACAACTATAAATGGTCTATAGTCAAGGCATGCACAAAAATAAATCATATGCTTGAACCATGTCTAGGTGGACAGTTATCTAAATGTTTTCTCCTAGTTGTGAAGACTATCAAAATTCTATTCTTAATTTTAACAGATAAAAATATAACTCAAAGTCTACAGTTCTGCAAATGAACTAGTGAACAAGACCTTTCAAAATTTACAGAAAAAGCTTAAAAGCAAAGTTATATAGCTGTATTGAATTAGACTAACAGCGGAATTGATTTTAAAGCATTTCCACCAACTTAAAATAATCTATGTTAATAACAATTTATATTTTCCTATATTCAACTTCATTTCAGCCCTTTCTGTATTTAGCCAATGTGTTTTTTACAATTTGTACATGGCAGCCTATTTATAAATATACAAGAGAATCTAGTTATATGATGCCTCATTACTACATAGACTAACATATATCATTCATTGAGCCAGGTTCAGTTATAGATTACACTACAATGAAAACAATATGCCGGTCTATAAATAAGAGGTTAACCTGGTTCTCTATCAACATTACTATTAAAAAAGATTAAAAAGACAGTCCATGAGATACAGATATTCTAAAAAATAAGAGTCAAAACCTGTCCACAGAAAGAGAACTCATACACATAATAATACACACATCTACAGGAAAAAAAGTCTTAGAGCAGTGTTTTTCTAATTGTAGGTTGTAACACATTTGGAGGCATAAAATCTATTTAATGAGTGGCAACCAATATTTTCATAAAAATAGGAGAATGGAGTGGAATGAAATGCAACAGGATAGTATCAGTGTGCAGCAAGCATAAGTAAGGTTAAGTATCTTTTTGTGAAGGATACTGAACTTGTTTCAGATGCATGTGCAGGCATTGTATCTGTTTACTGGGCCATGAGGTAAAATGTATTTCTTACTATATAGATACAGTCTATAGTACAGAAACACATGCCTTAGAAAATACACCCCAAGGCAGAAAAAGAATCCTTGGATGATGAGATGTTCTTGAACAGCTCTGAGACAATAAGAGGTAGAAGACTGCAGAAGTTTTCACACTGGGTGTCTAAGAACAACTGAGGGAACTGAGTTAGAAGGCCAAGGAATTGATGAGGAATTGTGCCTAACCTTTGTTAGAGTCTAAATGAATAGCAGACTAATAGGAGAACTCCAAGCTGTCATAATTCTAGCCACACAAATGCCCCCAGGTAGATGAACCAGAAGGAAGTAAGGTCTTCGTCTGAGTTCACCAGTAAAAGAGGGGATGCAAGCTCCCCAACTGACAACTCCAGTTCATGCAATTAGGAAATGTCTTCTGAGGTCTGTTTAAGGGTTCTAACCTTGAGGTAAGCCACATCTGGAGGAACACACAGATGAGGCCTCATGAAATCTTTGCAAGAGAATGAGCTGGGCCCGTAACTTCCGTTAATTCCTTGTGGCATACAGTTTTCATAACCCTCCAACCCCACTGCTCCCCCACTGCCAAAAACCAAAAACAAAATAGTCAGGGCTTTGTCTGGATAAAATTTGAAAACAAAGCCCTTTTTCCGATCTCCCCTTTGGTCTTCGCTTTTCGGTTCTGCTTCCTCCTGCTCCTGAATATATTTGTTCTTGCCCCCACCCAACACCCGTCTCCTAAAGCTTTTCTTTCACCCACTCATCCACGAATCCTCAACTAAATGCATTGTTAATCCTCAATTAAACAAGAAGTTGATAAAGACAGAAGATCCTTCCTCTCCCAGGGATATGTGTAGATTAACAAATACCTAAAAATGGTATTTGGGGTACAGCGAAAGGAAGAGAATTGCTCATTGGGATACTTGTCCAGGGGTCCACACCACTCACTCATGCTCTTGGCTCATAAACACAATCTTTGATGACTAGTAGTCTGGCTCAAGATTAATTTTGATCATCACAAACTTATTCCACGGGATATGCTTTATTGTTGCCATCTAGAAATTCAAGCAGCTGCTTGCCTGGCGTGCCCATTCTTTAGAAATTATTCAAGTTATCTATGTAGAAGACAGACAAGTGGTGCTTACTGCCTCCACCGATGGCTCAGTGAGGTATGGACGTTCATATTATGAATCAGGGTTTTGAATATGAGTTGTTAAGGATTTTAAGCTAAACTTTAAGTATGTACCCCAGATGTGATCTTGACTAGATGATTCAAACAAACAAAAGGTTGCACAAAAGGGCTTTGAGGAAATGGCTGCTGATCTGGAATCCTTTTCCATACCCAGGGAAATAAGATGCACAGCTCATCTGTGTTAGAAGGTATAACAAATATTTAATGAAAGTGCTTTTGTAGACTTATTTAAAAAATTAAGCAAGATAGATAGCTCAGAGAGATAGACCCAGGCCAAGGGAAAGCAATGGAAGGAGAAACAGAATGAGAAGTCATAAAAAAAAAAAGTCATAGAAAAGAACAACTAATGCTGAGGAAAATAAAAGTGAGCTAATTGTTTCATGGACACTATGATTGAATTTGCAAAGCCTACTTGTTTTTAATTGCCTAGATAATGCTAAGTATATGATACACAAAATGCTAAGCACACACACACACATTAAGAGGAAGGAAATGTCAAGACATTTGCTTGAGACAAACTGCTGAATATTAAGATGTGTTAAAATCAGGATAATGAATTATCCTCTTAAGAGAATAAAGTTACCTAAGATCAAGAGAGGTAGAGAAGCTTGAGTATTAGAAAGTTAAAACTAAGGAAACTAAGTATGCAGGATCATTTCATATTGCACAGAAGACCCTGGACTGAAAGTCACTGAACCCCAGCTACTGTGTGAACTTGAGGCTGATTTGGATCTTCAGCCACCAAAGAATTTTCAGTGAGGACTAACATAATCAGATTTACTTGAAAAAAAAATGTGTGGGGGATGGACTTCAGAGCAGCAAAAGGATGAGCTTGAAGTCTGTGATGACATAAGGGCTTGGACCGGAGGGGTGCCAGTAGTGCTGGGAATAAATATTTGGGATCTGGAAACTGTCAAGGAGGTAGAATCCAGAAGATATGAACGTAACTGAAAGGGGAGATACATGATGCCAAGAATGACTCCTGGCATATGCACTGGGTGCCATTTGGCAACAGAGGAGGTGCTGAAAGAGGAAAATATTTAGGAAGGGGAAGGATGAAGAACTTTTAGAGTCCTTGAGTTCAAGGCAAATCTGTGGGGATGAGGCCCTGTTTGGGGGGCAAATAGAGCTCCTCCTCTGTCAGAAAATGGATCCATTGTTTTATTCACAGGAAAAATTAAGAACCTGACATTATGGATGTTTTCACAACTCTGTCCCTTGGGTCTCAGTTCCAGCATATTTTCTGCTACCTCTCAGCAGAAGTGTTAATTGGGGACTGTAACACACATACACACACACACACACACAGAAGCCACATGTGCACATGCCTCTGTTATGAGCATTCCCTGCTCAAACAAGGTATCTTTAGTATGGAGAAATTACTTTTATGATTCCTTGAGATGAAGATCTCCATAGATACTCATTTAAAAAAAAACCTAGCTCTATGAATAGCCACCTCAGAATACAGTTGTCTTCATAAATAAGCCACCTCTTTTTGCTAATATTAGCTGCTACATTCTAAAAAAGAATGCAATTTTAACACTCTAAATCTTTTTTGTCAAAAATATAATGATTTCATAATAGTAAAAAGCATAATAAGGCTTAACTCTGGGACAGAAGATGGAAGGGGCTAAGGCTCCGTACCTGAGGCCCTGGAACTCAGGCTGAGAGGTGGGACCGCTCATGTGGGAGAGTTCCACATGGAGCAGGAAATGCCCCCAAAACAAGGAGACCAACAGCCCTGCAGTCCTTGCCTACAGTAGATGGAATTAGAGCTTTCCTGAAGGTAGTCCCTCATCCACTCACTTCTGTGTTAAAGGGTCTGGTCCATGTCACTTTGATAAAGGCTCTGGCCGGGCCATGATGTTTATGTAGTTGTTGGGTAATTAAAATATCTAAGAGATGTAAAATGCTCATGTTCCATCCTCCAGCAGATACACCTCTGCTCTGCCTCCTCCCCAGAGCAGGCCTCTTTGTCCTGGCAAACTGCTTGGTCCCTGTGCAATCTACTCTTAGCCATCCTCCTGGGTTTACGTAGCGGGCGCATGATGACTGTTTCCAGCATTTGCTACTGTGAGGTTGAAAAAAGAAGATCTTCCAAATTCTATTTTCTCTCTGCATAAGACAGGGCAGGCACTCCTGCAAATAACATTTTTGTATTACTTTAAACCACACTGTGGGCTATTTAGAGGGACCTCTTGGAGTGAATTGATGGTTAAATAATTCATAGGGATAAAGAGTCACTTTTTTTGCCATCCTATTTCTAAACTTAGTTGTAAAATTGGTGTGGTGTTTCCACAACAGTAGGAATTGTGGATGGAGTTTGAGAGGACTTTGGCAATAATAACAGCATCAGTAGGTATCTCTTCCCACAAGTTCTACTGATGTCACTATAGCAGGTAGACAGGTGAGAATACAGCCCATTCAAAGGCCTAACTCAACTAAAATACCATCATCGGGCAATGTGGGTTCTCATTAGCTTGAATGAGCTGTGTTATTTTGGGAAAAAATCTGTTCCTTCTTTTCTGGCAGTAATGAACAGATCAATGACAGATTCAAGAATTGACACTTGCCCAAACTGTTGTAGATTAGAATTCTACCTGATAAAAATGTTTATGTTATGATTAGTTCCATGTATTTAATAGTAAGAGTCCTGGACTCCAGTTTAAAATCCCTGACAGACTAGTGAAAATCTATATAAATGACTTAATGAACAGAATAACGTCCACTGAACTCCAATTAGTTTCTCCTCCCTCCCTTTGCATTTCCTCAGACTCTGGCATGCCCTCAATGGTCATTATTGTGGATATTTTGGACAAAGAAGAATCTTTGAAATATCAGAGACGAGTGACTTAATTTTGCCTTGTGATGTTAATGAATATCCCATAGAAATAAAAGAAGAAAGCAAGTTTACAGAAAAGCAGCAAAAATATGAATATCCTTTGGTATTTGACCAGCAAAGGTAAGACCGTTTTAGTCTTCTTTAGATGCACAAACAGCAATTAAACTAGTGTGACATGTGACATTGTGCTGGACATGGAGAAGCCACAGGTAAAAAGTCTAGAACTTTCCAGTGACTTGGAAATCCAGTGGAGGGGAGAAACATGTAAACAAAAAGCTATGATTTGGTATAATAATGCTGCTAGGAAAATCTAATTCTTAACAGAATTACAAAGACATAGATAGGATTTAACCTACCAAAGACAACCAAGGAGACAATTTTGGTCTTCTTTGTTTGGTTAAGTCCTATTTAAGCAAAGACACTAAATAATGAAAGACTATGAGGTAGTCTTTTGAGACTTGGGATTCCAGGGAGCAGGGAGGGAAGACACTGTAGGAGATAAAGAAAGAAAAGTCTATAGGGACCAAACCATAATGAGCTTTTTTAATGGGCCAATACAAAGATTTTAAACTTCACAGAAATCAGTGTGGCAGAATACACAAGAGGAAAAGCAGGTCTGAAGAAAAGGACAATGAGTTTGCTTTTGGACAGGCTTAAGTCTGAGATGTCTGTGGGACATCCAAGTAGAGATAATTCACAAGCACTGAGACAGACCTGTCTGGAGCTCCACCAAGAGGTCAGAGCTACAGATAAAGGTTTTGGAATCATCAGCATAGAAGGATTTTCATGGTGGATAAGTCACTTAGGTCCTGTGCATAGAGTGAGGAAAACAGAACACTAAGGGAGAAATCAAGAAATCATAGCCTCAAAAGAGCAGGTCAAGGAAGAGAAATCAGCAGAAGACAATAAGAAGGAACAGCCAAAAAGTTGAAAGGAAAACCACACACAAGCAGTATGATGGAACTCAAAGAGGAGAGAGTTGTAAGTAGAGTGGCAGAGGGGACACATTCATAGAACGTGGCAGTGAAGTCACATAGGACAACAGAAAAGTAAGCGTTGGATTTGGCCTATGTGTCAGCTCAGAGGTCACTGATGATTCTAGAGGGGGTAATTTCAATGAGTGAGGAGTAAAAATCACATCACAATGGTTGAGAAATAAATATAGATGAGAGGTGACAATGGTGTAGATTATTTTGTAAGGAGGTCAAATAGCTCTAAGGTCGAACAGGTGTTTGTTTCATGGGTCTGCTTGTTTGTGGGGGACCCCTGAGCATGCCTAAAGGCTTAGCAGAGGGAAGATAGTCCCCCGATAGACACTAGAATGTTGATGAAAAGCTACTTCATGCAAAGGCAGTCCAAGTTTTGACTGTGGCTGATCTTTGTCATAGTGAAAGAGATTGGTGCTCACCTGAGCTTTCAGAATCAGCAAAGCTCAACTGTAGTTGGTGTATGTCTAAATGTCTAGCCCTCAGGGGACCAGACCTGCCTAGACAAGTAACACCCAGCTGACCAGAACTGGGGCTACTGGCCACATGAGTCCATAGCAGAAAGGATCACACAGCATTATCTAAGATAAAGTCTTTTAGGGAAATCCTAAGTGAATCAAAGCTGTGGCAACCCAGTTTGGACTAAAATCATCTAGTCCAAAAGTTGGTAGAATGGCTATAAATAGGAATTGCAGCTGAGTCACAAGTCACACAGAATTTGGATCAAAACAAGGCCAATTTAAGAACAATCAGCAAGGGTTTCAGGTGACTGTCAAAATCCCATTGAAGAGTTCAGCTTGCCTTGGCTGGAGAATCAGAGCCCCGGAGAAGTCTGGCTAAAAAATAAGAGGTGGTGTAGTAGGGCCAAGACTCAAGACGTGGTCAGGTTCACCAGGTGAAGTTGATCAGTCTCTTTTGGGTAACCACTGAGGCTTAAACAGCCATGTATCTTTGTACTTAAAAAAATACAGTCTAATTTGTTAGTATGCATCTCCTTCACTATTCTGTGAGTTCCTTGAGGACTAGGACCTTGTTTTACGCATCTTTGTATATGCAATTCTTAGCTCAGCGCTTAGCACATGGTAGGCGCTCAAAAGGTATTTGTGGAACAAATACAGAATGACTAATAGAGAAGACCACAAGCAGAAGCAACAGATGTAACTGGCAGATACAGAAGGATGAAACACTATGATTTATTTGGGATGGACTAAATGTAGATATGTGTTTTCCTCATAAGTAAATAATTATGTTTGCCTGCAGCAAAATGTACTAGACTAGAAGTATTCCCCCTTAGGACACATATTAATAATTATCTTTTTAAAAATGTTTTTAATGCTTAGTTATGGCTTTACAAATAAATGTGTAAGTTTTAACTGTAGCGAAAGCTGCTCTGAATCACACAAAATTCAAGCATTGGTTTTGCACTAGAGGTTTGTTCATCCATACAATACAGTTTTTTCCCAGGGGCTATCAATGAATTTAACTACCTGGAATGTTCAAGCTTAGTAGAAATCTCTGGGTTTCCTGGGAGGGAAATCTGGGAACAAGTGGAGAGGTAGTATCATTAGAACTGGAGCCCTGGGAGCCAGAGAATTTGGAGACACAGAGAAAGAAGGACATCATGGATCCTTGTTTTGTAGGAAGAGAATAAAACATGGGTAACTGCCTAACAGTTTTTTTTTGTATCTTTATCTGCAGATGGAAAAAAATGAGCTCTGTATCTTTGGTTTTCAAACGTACACCTCCAAAGGCCTTTGAAGTGGAACATGATTTTAAGTTTTTCAAGTCTCTTTCTTCTCCTAAGGTAGGAGCTGATAAATTATGGTGCTTTTATAAATTGGAACAACAAAAGAAAGAAAAAGAAAGAAAACACTTTGCTTTTGTTTTCCACAATTTAGATATGTCCAGTGTATTCATTTTCAATTGCTGCTGTTTCTATTACTACAAACTTGGTGGCTTAAACAATACAAATTAATTATCTTACAGTTCTGTATTTCAAAAGTCTGACCTCAGTCTCACTGGGCTAAAATTAAGGTATTACCAGAGGTATGTCCCTTTTCCTGGAGGCTCTAGTGAAGAATCTCACATCCTGTAGTTTGTGGCCCATTCCTTCATCTTCAAAGCCAGAGAGGTTGCATCTCTCTGACCAGTATTCTGTGGTCACATGTCTCTCTGACCCAGTGGGAAATGTTTTCTGCTTTTAAGGACTCCTGTCATTAGTTTGGGCCCACAGGCATAAGCTATCTGATTCTTAACTTTAATCACACCAGCAGAATCTCTTTTGCCAAGTCAGACAAAAATAATGCACAAGTTGGGGAGTGATTTGGGGAAATAAGGTATGGCCGTCTTTGGTTGCCATTATTCTGCACTATCACATCTTTCTCCAGTGCAGAATTAAGACAGAAAAGCATACTGCTATGCATTCTATTTCTAACACTTCTAAACAAAACTATAGCATGAGCCTTTAGGCTAAGGTCTGCTATTAATTAATTAAAATCAACTTCCTCAAGATCTTCCACAAACTAAACCAAATTCTAAACTTATCTTCCATTACTAACCTATAGTTGCCCCACCCTCTCCAATCAGATTAGTCGTTGTTTCCCTGAGGATTCCTCTTTGTCTTCTGCCCCTACAGTTCATCTGGGCATCATCACCACATCCATGACAACCCTCCAGCACCCAAATCCTTCCTGAATTTGTAATTACCTTTGTAACTGAAAAAGGATCAGTGACCCAAATGGGGAAAGAACTCCTAAGAAAATAAGAAAAAAGTTCCCATTTAAAAAATGGTCCAATACTTGGTTATTTCACAAAAGAAAAAAAAAACATTTGCCAAAAAGCACATGAAAAGATGTTCAACCTCTTTAGTAAACATAGAAATTCAAATCAATAATGTTATGAGATACCACTTCACACCCACCAGATTGGCAAATATGAAAAAGTCTGACTTATCAGGGCTCAGTGTGCATTTGGCCCAATCAGAAGACTACCATGCTGAAGGGAGGGGCGTAACTTCCTAGAACTGCTCTGGAAGGCAATGTAGTGTTATCCAGCAAAACTGAAAACAGGCATTGGGGAAACTCTCAAACATGTACTTAGGAGGCAGACACGAATTGTTCAGAGCAGTACTGTTTGTAATAACAAAAACCTCGAAGCAGCCTAAATGCTCACCAAGAGCATGATCAATAAATTATGGTGCTTTTATAAACTGGAATATTATGGGTCAGTGAAACTAAATGAACTAGAATAACACTCACCTATGTGAATGATTGTTTGGCACATATTGTTGAATGAGAAAAGTTTTGCTTAAGAATATATACATAATTATTTCATTTATATAAAAGTCAAGAAAAGGCAAAACAATAAAATTGTTTTAGAAAAAAGTATATAAGGTAAAACTATATAAATAAAAGCAAGAGAATTAAAAGCATAAAATTTAGGATAGTCATTATGTCCGAGGACCAATGAAGAGGACTAAGGCTAGGGAATGTGCCCGTGAGAACCTCTAAGTTGAGGTTATTGTTTCAATTTGCAAGACAAAGCAATGGGTCCATGAATGTTCATCATGTCATTATTCTTTTACAGTATCAACTTTAAACTTAATAAATATTTCATATTCTCTAAGTGAAACAATTTTTCAGAGACCCCACTTTTCTGTCCTCTGATCATTAAATAAAATTTCGGAAAATCTTTAAAAAGGTTTTAAAGCTCTTAAAACAATGGAGTGCTTCAAATGATTTACCCTCTTATAACACCTTTGTCTTTTCAATTGGTTTGCAAAATAACAAAGGTTCGATGCTAATGCTGAGTTCAAATATTTTTCAATTAGGAACCTCTGGTTTTTACCAGCAATCTTATTTTACACATTCCTTTTCATTCTCAATTGAATAGTATTTATCTATTCACTTTCTTCTGTTAATTTATTTTTGACATATTGTTATCAGTAATGATCACACAATGGTACTAAATCTTACATTTGTAGGCATCTCACTGTAAACATTATCTCATTTGATTCTCATAACTAGCTAACAGTGCAAGATCTTGCCTAAGATCATACCCCTAATAAGTGGCAAAGTCAGGAATCTTGCCGCAGCTGAAGTGTGCTCTTTTCCTTAAATGTTCGCTCTTCTATTTCGCAGATTCGAAGACATGCCATAGAAGGTTTCATGACTGCAAACAGAGAACCAGGAATTGTTTTTGGTTCTCTGCCTATATACAGGGTGAGTTGGAGGTTTCTAGGACAAGAGTAGTTACAGAACGATGGGGAACTGACATCTGATTCCTGACCCTGGGCTACCAAGTAAGGTTGGAGAACATGTCACCAAGCCGACTGATGCTGCCATAAACACCGTGTGTCTGATGCCAGAGAAGTCTTCGGTTCTGTGTGTCAATGGCCTTTATCACTCGTCTATGCCATTCCACACTGAACAATGCTACAGGAAACTATTTTGAACTGTACCCTGGTTCCTCATCACTTGCCAGATAAAACCCAAATGCTTTTAGCCTAGCACACAAATCTTTCATGCTCTGGCCTCTGCTGGAACTGCACGACCTCATTTTCTACCGCATTCTCCCACATGCCCTGCACTCCAGCTGTGCCCAACTTTCACCACCATTCTTCCCTCCCCTGTGCCTTCACTGTGCTGCTCCTCTGCCCAGGATTCATCCACCCCTTGCTTCCCTCCAAAGCCTTATTCATCCTTCAGGTCCTCACTCCAGATAAATGGAAGAACTGTTAAATTAAAGAACTAATTAATTAACCAAGAATAATACATGAAGGTGAAATATTTCAACTTAATCTTACCTTATTTCTTCAAATGTTCCTGCTCCTTCCCAAGAATGCATTCATTGTAAATAAGTATCAAACACTTAGGCTACAGATGATGCTAAAGGTGAATAAGAATTAATAGCGGGTGATGGTTATGTCAGTATACACACATCAAAATTCATCAAGCTGTAAACTAAGATTTATGGGTTTTATTGTATGTACCTCAATATAAAAAAATTTTAAAGTAAACAAATTTAAAAAATTTTTTAATTAGGAAAGAATTACTAGTGGACAACTGGGAGGGGGGCTGTACTGCATAGCAGTTGGACCTTCTCACTCCCTCTCTTACCCCTGAATTCATATTACAGAAGTAATCTTTTTAAGTATGTCTTACTAACTCTTATTTATGGCTTCTAGATACCAAGCCCCAATAGTCTCAGATTCCTTCCACTCATTGGTTCAGAAGTACACAGGGACTCTTTAGATGGAATTTTAGGAAAGAAGAGGGTAAGTCATGGTCAACACGAAAAGGTAAGTTAATACTTAGAATTCCACAGTGTATTGCATTTCTGTTTGAAGTGTTAATTATTGCTCTGTTCTTAGAAACATTCTGGGCCTAAAATGATCTCAGTTCATACTCTGTGTGCTAATATTCCAGGATGCATTAGCTCAGTGAGATGAAAACCATGAATTTGCTAGAAGAGAGAAAAATCAAACAGGACTTCTGAGCCTGACAAGTGAAACCTATCTAGAGCTAATTTAAGAAAGGACCAATGCCTAATCTTAAAATCTAGGCAACATGATATGACACGTCTGAGGTCTGGGCAGCCATATTTGCTTTACATCTTATTGTACCTACAGGATGGAGACATGATATCATTAAGTTTCTGGCTCACCAGCTGAGTCAAAGAGAATTCTTTCCCAAGAATTCATAGGAATGACTAACATACAATGCTTTAGTTTACATAGTGTTTCTACAAATGGTTCCTTGGGTTTTCACAAGAACTACAAAGAAAATGTTATATCCATCTTAGAACTGGAAAAAAACAGAGCCTAAAGGGAGGTTAAATGACTTGCCTAAGATCATAGTAAGTAAGTGATAAGCTGAGATCTACTTCTGACTGCAAATTTTATGTTCATTCTATTACATCATAGGGCCTAGAAAACTAAAACCCTTTCATTCTTCTATTAGTTCTAGGAACCCTGTATGGGCCTAATTTAACCTGTGGCCACTTACCTAGTCATTAAAATAGATCAAACATTAAGAGGAAGAGCTAACATAGGGTGATTTTTATAAGCCTGCATTCCATGAAGTCAGACTAAAAACAGAAAGAAGATGGTTCTTATTGTCTTTTCCTGAGTAACATATAACAAGCACAACTACAATAACAAAAACAAAAAGCCGCTTTATTTAACAGAGAAAACGTGACCATCATTTTGTCAGCTTGTGCACTTAGAGTATGAATGATTCCTGTTAATCATCAACTCTACCCATCATTTGAGTAAGACTTTTTAGCAGTAGAAGAGTTATCTGTAAAAATAATATAATTTACTTTTGTCTTAAGTAATGGATGAAATGGAGTGGAATCAATAACTAAACTAACAGGAAATCAAAAGAGTGTTTGGGGTTTTATAATTCATACATTTTATGCCCTATGCTTGCATTCTTGTTTTGCCTCATCTGATATTAAATATACTTTACATTCTCTACATGCAAACTAAGTGACAGAAAGAAGGTGGCCAAATATGTATTAAACAGGGGGAAGACAAAAATGGAATTTTTAATATATCCATTGTTTTTAATAGATTATTTTCTCTTAATTGTTCTGGTAGGTCATTAACCACATAAGAAAAACAAAGGGCGTAGATAAGAGGCCACAAAACCATAATTAAGAATTCTCTTTCTGAATAGAAAGTGTGGTTAAAAGAATTAGTGTGGTTGGGGCTCCAATTAGTTTCCAAAATAAAATTAGGTCTTTTTTGGAAAATTGTGCACTTAGTGAGATGACAATAAAATCTAGAAATTCATATAGATTAAAGCACCATTGTGTTGACTGCGATTTTATGAACCTAAACAGCCTATGTGGGAGAAGAGTGGACAAAATCAAATCAATAAATACACATCAAATGCCTGTTTTAATAAGATTACCTCAGAAAGTTTAGTGTTCAAATTCCAACTCTGTGTAACATTTATAGAATACCTCAAAACATCTACTATGTGCTCTGTGCTGTGCTAGGCACCAACAGCCATTCATGGATCAAGGAGCTCACCGCACAGAGGGGACAAAGTCCTCTGAGCAGAGTCCAAACACTGGCACCTTCATCTCTTACTAAATATTTTTAAATGGTAGAAATGTTGGTTCCAAGTATTCGTGTCTTTAAATGGTTCGGAATCTCTTTAGGATTCAAAAAGTTACAAAATGTTAATCAAAGTACAGGAAAAGTAATTCAGAGCATAAGCCTGCAGTTCCCTTTCAGTTTAAATGTGGGGAGAGAGAGGGAGAATGTGAACTTTGTGACACATAATCCATTTTCAAAGTCATGCAAACACATCCAATAATAGGAAAATGGTGAAGTGAAGATGGTAGATACGATAGCATACTCTATAGCTCTTCCATAGAATATTTAAATAACAGAACAATTTTCACAATTTTATTTTTGGTGAAAAAGGTATGTAGTCTGAATGATATTGCTCATGATAATGGCTAGCCAATTAACCAAGAATAATACATGAAGGTGAAATATTTCAACTTAATCTTACCAGGTACAACAGTATGCCAGGTACAACACTGAACATTATACAGAGATAAGCACACTCACTAATCTTCACAACACTTTGAGTAGTTATGAATTTCATCCGCACTTGACAATTGAGAAAACTGAAGTACAGGGGATACATAATTTACCTAAAAGCCCTAAAGGAGCAAATAATAGAGCTGGGATTTAAACCCAGCAGTTTGACTTCAGAGTCTGGACACTTGAACACAGTGCAATGTAATTCAGACACAGGTGAACTGCTGGCCTCTCCTGGTCACAATACAGCATGAGAGTTTACAAGTACTGAGCCCTAGAACAACCCTCCCTTCCCACCACTCTCTGCCCCTCCCCCTGCTTTATTTTTCTTCATGGCTCTGTCACTGACATTACATTACATTACATAAGAATTCATTACTTTGTATTGATTCTTTCCTACTGGAATGTTAAGATCCATGAAGGCAAGAACTTTGACCAGTTCTCTGCTGGAATTCTCTCTTCCAGTGTTTAGAACGCATAAGTGATACTCAAAAAACATTTGCTGAATGAAAGAATGAATGAGTTAGAAGAATAGAAAACTAAAGAGAAATCAGTGCAGCATCACCTCAGCTGTGTAACAGGTTGATCTAGGGAGCTAAGTCTCCCACCTTCCCTCAGGCAGAAAGAGGAACGATCCCATGACCTGTGAGTGCCCAAGCCTATGGGATTTTAGGGGGTTGAATTTTGACCTTAGAGCTCACTCTTTCTCTCTCTTTACCTTATAATTCCCTATATCTCCTCTTCCATTTCCTTCTTTCTTCTTCCCATAAAAGACATAAAATCAATTTGCTCTGTACTGTAAATATTGGCTGAATATCATTGACAAAAGTAGACACCAATATTAATTTTTAAACCAAATGAGTTTAACTATGTGTGTGTGTGTGTGTGTGTGTGTG